TAGTGCGTTGTCTTTTTCTTCACCTCGTATAGAGGTTGAGAGTTTCACCATTTTGCCATATTCAGCTCGCGCTGCATGTCGGCTGGTCTGTAGAGTTTAACCATTTTGTAACGTTTAGCTCACGCTTCACATCTGCTGGTCTGGTAGAAATTCAACCATTTTAAGTCGTGGGGCTTCCTGGTCTTCTTGGTCTAACCATTTTAAGCTGTGTAGCTTCAGCTTCACGCTTCCTGGTCTAATGCGAATTTGTTTTTCAAAGGCTTTTTATGCCCTCGGGGTAAAAAGGGGTGTTCCATCATGTTTGTGCTCATCTGGGCATGGCCACTGACTGAGAACAAATCAATATTGAAAACTATAATCTCTTCTAGAATGCTAAAATCACATTGTCATCTTCACAAACGTATAATTATACTTAATCATTTGTTTTATACAACAATTAAATGCAAACCTCATAACTGAGAAGTGTACACCCCCAGAGATACAGTTATGTTGTTCCACCGTCTTTAATGACATCACAACATAGTAACGAATGACATGATTGTTTTTTAAGTCCCCACCGACCATTTCCCACATTCTTTGAAGTATGAATATTGTTTCATTATCCAATTTTGGATGTTGGAGTCTTGGTGGGAAGACTTCCTTTGTTCACAGGGAAATTCCCTCTCCCAATGCTGCATGGCATGGAAAATAACGTTTCTGCAAGGTATTTATGACCGGTCATAAAACTGGCCCCCAGGAGAGGGGGTGTTCAAACCTTTGCCTAGCCGGCATCTTTGATCCTCAGCCCATGAGGGCAAGTCATGACACAGCCTTATTCTAAAATTGATTAAAATTGTTTTTTCCCCTCATGAATCTACACACAATAGCCCATAACCTCAAAGCAAAAACTGGTTTTAGCAAATGTATAAAAAAATATAAAACAGAAATATCACATTTACAGTTGAGGTCGGAAGTTTACATACACCGTAGCCAAATACATTTAAACTGAGTTTTTCACAATTCCTGACATTTAATCCTAGTAAAAATTCAGTGTCTTAGGTCAGTTAGGATCACCACTTTATTTTAAGAATGTGAAATGTCAGAATAATAGTAGAGAGAATGATTTATTTCAGCTTTTATTTCTTTCATCACATTCCCAGTGGGTCAGACGTTTACATACACTCAATTAGTATTTGGTAGCATTGCCTTTAAATTGTTTAACTTGGGTCAAACGTTTCAGGTAGCCTTCCACAAGCTTTCCACAATAAGTTGGGTGAATTTTGGCCCATTCCTCCTGACAGAGCTGGTGTAACTGAGTCAGGTTTGTAGGCCTCCTTGCTCGCACACGCTTTTTCAATTCTGCCCACAAACTTTCTATAGGATTGAGGTCAGGGCTTTGTGATGGCCACTCCAATACCTTGACTTTGTTGTCCTTAAGCCATTTGCCACAACTTTGGAAGTATGCTTGGGGTCATTGTCCATTTGGAAGACCCATTTGCGACCAAGCTTTAACTTCCTGACTGATGTGTTGAGATGTTGCTTCAATATATCTACATCATTTTCCTTCCTCATGATGCCATCTATTTTGTGAAGTGCACCAGTCCCTCCTGCAGCAAAGCACCCCCAAAGCATGATGCTGCCACCCCGTGCTTCACGGTTTGGATGGTGTTCTTTGGCTTGCAAGTACCCCCTTTTTCCTCCAAACATAACGATGGTCATTATGGCCAAACAGTTCTATTTTTGTTTCATCAGACCAGAGGACATTTCTCCAAAAAGTACGATCTTTGTCCCAATGTGCAGTTGCAAACCGTAGTCTGGCTTTTTTATGGCGGTTTTGGAGCAGTGGCTTCTTCCTTGTTGAGCAGCCTTTCAGGTTATGTCAATATAGGACTCGTTTTACTGTGGATATAGATACTTTTGTACCTGTTTCTACCCGTGGTGTTTTTACTTGCGTACTATTGTTTGTACAGATGAACGTGGTACCTTCAGGCGTTTGGAAATTGCTCCCAAGGATGAACCAGACTTGTGGAGGTGTAGAATTTTTTTTCTGAGGTCTTGGCTGATTTCTTTTGATTTTCCCATGATGTCAAGCAAAGAGGCACTGAGTTTGAAGGTAGGCCTTGAAATACATCCACAGGTACACCTCCAATTGATTCAAATGATGTAAATTAGCCTATCAGAAGCTTCTAAAGCCATTACATTTTCTGGAATTTTCCAAGCTGTTTAAAGGCTCCGTCAACTTAGTGTATGTAAACTTCTGACCCACTGGAATTATGATACAGTGAATTATAAATGAAATAATCTGTCTGTAAACAATTGTTGGAAAGATTACTTGTGTCATGCACAAAGTAGATGTCCTAACCAACTTGTCAAAACTATAGTTTGTTAACAAGACATTTGTGGAGTGGTTGAAAAATGAGTTTTAATGACTCCAACTGTACATACAGTACCATTGTAGAATAATAGTGAAGACATCAAAACTATGAAATATCACATATGGAATCATGTAGTAACCAAAAAAAGTGTTAAACAAATCAAAATATATTTTATATTTGAGATTCTTCAAAGTAGCCACCCTTTTCCTTGATGACAGCTTTGCACACTCGTGGCATTCTCTCAACCAGCTTCATGAGGTAGTCACCTGGAATGCTTTTCCAACATTCTTGAAGGAGTTCCCACATATGCTGAGCACTTGTTGGCTGCTTTTCCTTCACTCTGCGGTCCAACTCATCTCAATTGGGTTGAGGTCGGGTGAATGTGGAGGCCAGGTCATCTAATGCAGCACTCCATCACTCTCCTTCTTGGTCAAATAGCCCTTACACAGCCTGGAGGTGTGTTTTGGGTCACTGTCCTGTTGAAAAACAAATGATAGTCCCACTAATCGCAAACCAGATGGGACGGTGTATCGCTGCAGAATGCTATGGTAGCCATGCTGGTTAAGTGTGCCTTGAATTCTAAATAAATCACAGACAGTGTCACCAGCGAAGCACCCCCACACCTCCTCATCCATGCTTCACGGTGGGAACCACATGAGGAGATCTGTTCACCTACTCTGCGTCTCACAAATACACGGCGGTTGGAACCAAAAATCTCAAATTTGGACTCATTAGACCTAAGGACAGATTTCCACCGGTCTAATGTCCATTGCTCATGTTTCTTGGCCCAAGCAAGTCTCTTCTACTTATTGGTGTCCTTTAGTAGTGGTTTCTTCACAGCAATTCGACCATGAAGGCCTGATTCACGCAGTCTCCTCTGAAGAGATGATGTTGAGATGTGTATTTTACTTGAACTCTGTGAAGCATTTATTTGGGCTGCAATTTCTGAGGCCGGTAACTCTAATTAACTTATCCTCTGCAGCAGAGGTAACTCTGGGTCTTCCTTTCCTGTGGCGGTCCTCATGAGAGCTAGTTTCATCATAGCGATTGATGGTTTTTACGACCGCACTTGAAGAAGACTGACATTCATGTCTTAAAGTAATGATGGACTGTAATTTCTCTTTGCTTATTTGAGCTGTTCTTGCCATAATATGGACTTGGTCTTTTACCAAAAAGGGCTATCTTCTGTATACCAACCCTACCTTGTCACAACACAACTGATTGGTTCAAACGCATTAAGAAGGAAAGAAATTCCACAAATTAACTTTTAACAAGGCACACCTGTTAATTGAAATGCATTCCAGGTGACTACCTCATGAAGCTGGTTGAGAGAATGCCAAGAGTGTGCAAAGCTGTCATCAAGGCAAAGGGTGACTACTTTGAAGAAACTAAAATATAAAATATATTTTTTAAATATACTTTTTGGTTACTACATGATTCCATGTGTGTTGTTTCATAGTTTATGTCTTCACTACCATTCTACAATGTAGAAAATAGTAAAAACAAAGAAAAACCCTGGAATGAGTATGTGTGTCCAAACTTTTGACTGGTGCTGTAAGTATTCAGAACCTTTACTCAGCACTTTGTTGAAGCACCTTTGGCAGCGATTACAGCCTTGAGTCTTCTTGGGTATGATGCGACAAGCTTGGCACACCTGTATTTGGGGAGTTTCTAACACTCTGCAGATCCTCTCAAGCTCTGTCAGGTTGGATGGGGAGTGTCGCTGCACAGCTATTTTCAGGTCTCTCCAGAGATGTTAGATCGGGTTCAAGTCCGGGCTCTGGCTGGGCCACTCAAGGATATTCAAAGACTTGTTCCGAAGCCACTCCTGCGTTGTCTTGGCTGTGTGCTTAGGGTCGTTGTCCTGTTGGAAGATGAACCTTCGCCCCCAGTCTGAGGTCTTGAGCGCTCTGGAGCAGGTTTTCGTCAAGGATTTCTCTGTACTTTGCTCCGTTAATCTTTCCCTCGATCCTGACTAGTCTCCCAGTCCCTGCTGCTGAAAAACATCCCCACACCGTAGTGATGGTCCCTTTCACCGTAGGGATGGTGCCAGGTTTCCTCCAGACGTGACTCATGAGTCTCATTCAGACCAAAGAGTTCAATCTTGGTTTCATCAGACCTGAAAATCTTGCTATAACGTATGCGGCCAATACAATTTGATTTGATTTTGATTTAATGGAAGTCTCAAATGGAAGGCAAACATATTGTTATCTGTAGCACCATAGACTCCACTGATCAGCCAAAATAAGATCAATAACTCATGGACACACTCCTATTGAATATGCATTCACCTGTACTGTGAGTAGGCCTATGCAATCTTCCATTTACCCAGTTCATCAAATACAAGTATTACCATTATGTTATGTAGTTAGATTGTTTTGTCCAAAGTCAAATATAAATATATAAAAAATGTATGGATTAATGCATACATGGTATCAGCCCTAGAAAATCCATATAGGTCGTTCTCTAAGGGGTGCCAAGCAGAGACGCATCGGGTCCCAGTTTTACAATCTTTGGTATGACTTGGCCGGGGATCGAGCTCCCATCCTTCCAATCTCAGGGCGGACACTAACCACAAGGCCACTGAGTTGGTCTGACACATAATGCTGATGTAAAATAAGGACTTCCACAGAGTGGACTTACTGCACACAGGCCGGAGGGGATCTTGTCAGGGGGGGCCTGCATAATGCTGACCAGGGTGGGGATGAGGCGCACCTGCATGGGTCCCTGGCACGCCTCGATTTGGGCCAGCTCCTTAAAGATGTCCTGGGCCAGAGAGGACACCACTGGATCTGGGGAGAGGACAGGAGGGAAGGGAGAGTTGGATATGGCGGCACAAGTGTTGATATGAAAGGTTTGGATAGATGTAAGCCATATGGTAATACCTCAATATATCAAATCGGACTCAATGATGAACTCAATGAGTGCCAACTGCCAAGGTTAGTTACCTACCATTACTATACTTGAGGAAGATGGCGATGGTGAGGGGGCAGATCTTGTTCTCTGCGCTGGTGGTGAAGGCTGGGTCCACGGTGGAGACGATACACAGGGTCTCCATGACCAGGGTGAGCACCTCGGAGCTGAACTGGGCTGCCAGCTGCACCAGCCCCTCCAGAACAGCAGGAAGGAACGGCTGCAGGACCTGGGTACTCTCTGACAGCTTCAGCTGGTCACAGTACCTGAGAAGAGCACACATACGCACACACACATTAACCACCTGCATACCAACACATTTACTGTTATGGTGTTGTGACTGTTTATGTTGTAAGGCTAGTTAGGTGACAAACTAAAGAGGGATTTATCCATCTATCTATACCATCACTGCTTTTACCTGGTCTAGCTTATTGTTTATGACTGGAGGGAAAAAAATAACCTCTAGTGTGCTCTATACAGCATGTCAGAACTATAGAGGTTTAAGCTTTCTTAAACTCCACTCAAAAACAATATATATATACGTTTTCCCATTAGTCCACTGTTCATACAGTCACTGGCCACATCATCATGATGCAAGTGACACTTTGCTTCTTGAAAGTCCAATATCTTGATAACTTGACTGCTGACACGCAAAACATTTTGGGACTGTATCAACAGTGGACTAATGAAACAAATAGCAAAAGTTTGTTTTGAGTGGATTTTCCCTTTAAGTGTTGATCTCTCTCACCCCCATATGGCGCGTACGGCTGAGATGCGGACCGAGGGGGGCTGGCTGTCATGCAGGCCGCTGACGGTGGCCTGGAGGAACTGCTGGATGAGATCAGGGGTCATGGCTGCTGTGAAGCGGCTGGCTGCCCAAAGGGCACGGCCCAGCAGGAATGGAGAGGCCGCTGGTGGGAAGAGTTAGGGGACAGGGGGTTATTATGTAGCTACATTTCAATTTTTTTAATTTTAGTCATTTAGCAGACACTCTTATCCAGAGCGACTTACAGTTAGTTAGCTAGGTACAGTGGGGAGAACAAGTATTTGATACACTGCCGATTTTGCAGGTTTTCCTACTTACAAAGCAGGTAGAGGTCTGTAATTTTTATCATAGGTACACTTCAACTGTGAGAGACGGAATCCAGAAAATCACATTGTATGATTTTTAAGTAATTAATTTGCATTTTATTGCATGACATAAGTAGTTCATACATCAGAAAAGCAGAACTTAATATTTGGTACAGAAACCTTTGTTTGCAATTACAGAGACCATACGTTTCCTGTAGGTCTTGACCAGGTTTGCACACACTGCAGCAGGGATTTTGGCCCACTCCTCCATACAGACCTTCTCCAGATCCTTCAGGTTTCGGGGCTGTCGCTGGGCAATACGGACTTTCAGCTCCCTCCAAAGATTTTCTATTGGGTTCAGGTCTGGAGACTGGCTAGGCCACTCCAGGACCTTGAGGTGCTTCTTACGGAGCCACTCCTTAGTTGCCCTGGCTGTGTGTTTCGGGTCGTTGTCATGCTGGAAGACCCAGCCACGACCCATCTTCAATGCTCTTACTGAGGGAAGGAGGTTGTTGGCCAAGATCTCGCGATACATGGCCCCATCCATCCTCCCCTCAATACTGTGCAGTCGTCCTGTCCCCTTTGCAGAAAAGCATCCCCAAAGAAAGATGTTTCCACCTCCATGCTTCACGGTTGGGATGGTGTTCTTGGGGTTGTACTCATCCTTCTTCCTCCAAACACGGCGAGTGGAGTTTAGACCAAAAAGCTCTATTTTTGTCTCATCAGACCACATGACCTTCTCCCATTCCTCCTCTGGATCATCCAGATGGTCATTGGCAAACTTCAGACGGGCCTGGACATGCGCTGGCTTGAGCAGGGGGACCTTGCGTGCGCTGCAGGATTTTAATCCATGACGGCGTAGTGTGTTACTAATGGTTTTCTTTGAGACTGTGGTCCCAGCTCTCTTCAGGTCATTGACCAGGTCCTGCCGTGTAGTTCTGGGCTGATCCCTCACCTTCCTCATGATCATTGATGCCCCACGAGGTGAGATCTTGCATGGAGCCCCAGACCGAGGGTGATTGACTGTCATCTTGAACTTCTTCCATTTTCTAATAATTGCGCCAACAGTTGTTGCCTTCTCACCAAGCTGCTTGCCTATTGTCCTGTAGCCCATCCCAGCCTTGTGCAGGTCTTGGCCATTGTGGAGAGGTTGGAGTCTGTTTGATTGAGTGTGTGGACAGGTGTCTTTTATACAGGTAACGAGTTCAAACAGGTGCAGTTAATACAGGTAATGAGTGGAGAACAGGAGGGCTTCTTAAAGAAAAACTAACAGGTCTGTGAGAGCCGGAATTCTTACTGGTTGGTAGGTGATCAAATACTTATGTCATGCAATAAAATGCAAATGAATTACTTAAAAATCATACAATGTGATTTTCTGGATTTTTGTTTTAGATTCCGTCTCTCCCAGTTGAAGTGTACCTATGATAAAAATTACAGACCTCTACATGCTTTGTAAGTACGAAAACCTGCAAAATCGGCAGTGTATCAAATACTTGTTCTCCCCACTGTAGGTAGGCACATACTGTACTGTGAGCCACGGTCAAACTCTAGAGTCCAGGGCTGCAGTGTATGCAGGTTATAGTTTCTCCCTCATGCTTCATTGATATCTTGATCACAATGTCACAGACTTAAAAGAACAACATAACTGAACATTGCTTCCCAGGAGCTGAGCAAGAGACCCCAGACTGACTAACTTGAGAGGTTGAGGTCAGCCAGGATGACGTTAGCCAGGAAGCCGTGCATATCAAACTGAACACGGCCGTTCTTCACGTTCTCTGTGATGATGGTCTTTACTGAGCCCAGAGCTAACATACACGCCTCATGGACCTTCCACCTGCAGGACGGGATAACACAGGGGTGAAGAGAGAGCAGACCTAGAGTCTGACTGCATGGTGATGGTTTAGCTATGGGGTGCATCTCAATAGTCGAAAGTGGTCTGCTCTACTTGTCTCCTTTCCTCAGTCTGCACCGACATAAAAATACCTGGACAGATGAAAGCAAAATTCCTGAAAGACATCCATACTGCTTTCATCTAGCCTGTGTTTTCAGGTCAGTGCATAGGACAAACAGGAGACAAGAAGAGGAAGCCACTAATTACTTTTGAGAGGCACTGATGTCATGCAGCCGGTGTGTGTGTGTAGTCCTCACCAGTGTTCGTTGCCACTGTTCTTGGCCTGCTCTGCTTCCTGCAGGTGTCTTGTTGCTGCCGCCGCCAATGCTGCCGCACTCTCGTTCTGGAACTCCGTCGCCACAGCCTATTGGAAGAGGAGGAAGGTTGAATTGAAAAGTCTTGTGACGTCTCCAAAAAAGTCACATTGACCAGAACCTACACATGGAACGGTAGCCGTCTGCGTGTGGGAGTATTCTTTCATGAAGGGTTAAAACATAGAGCCACAGAAAAGAGTACACTATATGGGGAATAAGGTATTACAGATTTGCCCAGACTGTAAGTGTCCCATGTGAAGTTCTCACCAGCAGCAGATCCTGGGCTGAGATCCTGACGGAGTAGGAGAAGGTGTCGTCATCCTCGTCCTCCACAAACTGCTGGGGGTTGGCCGTCCACACCTTGATCTACAGAGAAAGACTACTGATGATGAGGAATACATACATGATACCAACCTATGGCTTTTTTGACTAAACAGATTCTCTTAAAAATGTCACACACACAAGGTTGTTTGTACCTGATCCTCAGTGATCTGCATGTAGAGAATGATGTAGTAGATGAGCTCAGGAAGAGCCTTCTTCACTGTGCTCTTAAACTTGCTGTTCTCCAGCAACGTGTGGACGAACTCAAAGATGCTAAACACCAGGTTCTCAAAGCCCAGAACCTCACCTGGGAGAAAAACGCACACAAATAAATACCTCTAAACTCAACCAAAACCAAGAGGACTTAAGGAAAGTATATAGCTCACTATATATGTTATATCTAGATCAGCCCATGTCACATAGATTGATTACATTTATTAGACATTTTAAAAATCACATTTTACAGCCAGTACATACAAAGTTAAGTAAATTCTTGACGATATGAATATGATAAGGCTGTACTCACCATCAGAGTCAATGGGGTCATCTACCTCCTCTGTGTAGTTGACCTCTGTTCTGACATAAGTGCACACCTGGTTAAGGAAATCCCATTCTCAGGACATAGACCATTCTCTACAGCTAGGTGGGCTAGCTAGCTAGCTCCCATTTCAGTGTGACAAAGGGCAAAGTGGAGATAATCGCTCATTATTGACAGATGTGACCCAAAGGGAATGAATGAAGACACTGAGCTACCGTAAGATGAAAGAGGAGAGGACATAGTTGCATTGTGAAGGATATAAAGAAGCGCTCTCTGTCAGGGTGTTCCAGACGATGGGCAGAATCTGCTGCATGGACAAAACCATGGGTTTAGGGAAGTTCTTCACTAGAGCCGTCACGGCCTTGGGAGGAGGTAAAAAGGTGAAGGGAAGGGTGGATCAGGATTAGGACAACTGATAACATTTGGCCTCCAGATCCCAAAACCACAACATCTGGCTGTATAAATTCATGAGAGTACAAATTCTTCTGTGGTCATTTTCTCACCTTGAGGACCTCCATCTTGAGGCCACTGTCTGAGGAGGGTCCATCAGGCATCTGCAGGGCCTGAATGAATGCCTCAGTGAACTGCTGCACTACAGGGAAGATCAGGGCCTTGGCCGCACCCTTTTCCAGCTCCTCTATCGCACAGATCAGATTGGCACAGGTGGTGAAGATCTCCACGGCTCTGGAGCGGGTACGGATGCTGTAGATCTCGATCATGCTGAAGATCTTGTACATCTCAGGCAGAATTACTGGGGCCACCAGAGGCATCTGAGTATCTGTCACCTCACGGGTAAACTCTTTGAGAAAATGCCAGAGGGATGAAGTGAATACACGGAGATACATGAATACAAATGGAGCACAGGAAATTGAGCACAGGAAAAGAGGTCAATTTGGAATTGGGGATGTGTGTGTCCTTACCTGTGAGGACCCTCATGGCCCCGTGCACTGCGCTGACGTCGCCGCTGACCAACATGTCCATGAGGAGGGTGAAGAGCTGCGGCCAGGCTTCGGGCCAGTCCCAGTGGGCGATGGCCGACACAGCGTAGGCCACGCTGGACCGCACCTTACTGATGGCCTCCCTGAGACCCCCAGGCAACAGCTCCCTGATGGCTGCCTTGGCCTGGATTTTAGGCAGCATTAGCAGTTTCATAACTCCTCCTCAATGTTTTCAAATAGCTAGCCATTGACAATGATCCATTTGAACTAGGCTAGTTGAAAGAATGAGATGTCGCTTTGCTTACCCGGTCTGTGGTCTCTGGGGGCCTGAACTTCTCAGACAGGGAACACCAGTGGGTCTCCACATACTGCTTCAGGATGACTGAGGCCAACTGAACACATCAACAAACACATACAGTATAATGAATTAATTGATTGATCGATATAGTAGTGTGAAGGAGATGCTGAGAAGTAAAAAAAAAAAGAAACAAAAGAAAAAGAAAAAAAAGTAGTCACACACCATATAACTACTATTTTTCTGCTAACTAACCTGACGAATGGCCAGAGCTCCCTGAGGATCTACAGTTAGCTCTGCGAGGTGGACTCCAAACTCTACAAAACAAATTGAGCAACATCAACACACAGTGGACAGATCATCAGGCATACAGACACACTCTTGGAAGCACACTGGCCATGTCATTGGGGTGGAACATCGGAAACTATGGCAGGCATGCATGGAATGCAGGGACAAAATGTCAAACATTTTCATATGATTGGACTTATGCCCAACATCTGAAAACACCATACGCACGACATTACATTGACAATTCTTAGCACCTTTGAGCATTTACAACAAGCACTGGAGAACTCTTCCAATGCGTTTTAGGCTTGTCAGTCAGACTCATCCCTGCAATGTGCCCCTGCTCTGTCCCCAGCTTTAACTGAGAGTGACATCAGAGTCCAGGAGACAATGTTAGTGCTGACAGCTCCATGCATAGAGCAGCTCCCTCAGAAAGAGGCCTGATGGGCCCATTCTTGCTGCTGTGACACTGCAGTGGATCCTGACAGGCAGCCTGCACAATCAGCCTTTTAGCCATGCCAGAGAGGAACACCACAGACAAAGGCACTGTACACACTGTCCCTATATTCACCCCCCACTGTATTTTGGATTAGTGGCAAGCTGGTTTAGGGTAGCTAATGTACTTTACTATAGCTAAGTAAGCATATATGGTAGCTATTCCTTCAACATACATAAGGTAGTAGGGTAAGGGCGTTTGCAGTATTGAGATGGATCATTCATGTATTCAAAGGGGGAACACGAAACAATGTTTTCCTGTGGGGGGAATAAATATTAAAACATGAGAAAAGCAGAGTTGTCAAAAAACAACTGATCCCGTCAGTTTTCCAAGGCTGGAATCCGGAAGTCGGGAATACTGAGGAATCATACTCGCGGGAAAACTTTCCAGATGTATGGTTACTATAGCGACCCTAACACGATTTCAAAGCCTTCATAATCGATTCATCCTATCACTCTTCTAGAATTCCAAGTAGAATGCAGGGCTCTGGGCTCGAAATAAGATTACACGAATGTAAATTGCTAGCTAGCTATCAAGTCTTATCTGCTGCTTATTGTCAGTCCACCTAGCTAGTTATTTAGTAGCACACATTAGTTAACTTGCCATTTTAATTCCAGGCAGTTAAAATAGATTCTCCCTGGTTGAATTGGTCCACAATCATCATTATGTGTGGATACTAGCTCCAACAACAACACAGAGAACGGAATGAAATTGCTGCTAAATTAGCTAACAATCAAGGATGCTGGAGGCAGACAGTGTGCCCCCCCCCACCACCACCACACACACACACACACACACACACACACACACACACACACACACACGGTTGTTCTGTCAGCTAACTAACTTGTTAGCCGCTAATTTAGGTAGCTAATTGGGAATAAGAAAACAAGATTCATTTGCGCCACTTGCTAGCTAGCTAGCCAATTGGAGAGAACCGAACCTTTTATATTCTGTTTTATCATTACAAGCTAACGTTAGCCAACAACATGACAGTGTTTTTTTTGTCTGCTGTACAATAACGTTAGTTAGCATTTATCGTTCCGTACAGGCCCATATGCACGTATTTAGCTATCATCATATAATTTCACTCTCTTGACATCAGCTGGTATAGCAATGCCAGCGTACATGCTTAACTTACCCTCTGTCACTTCCAACACTTTTATTTGCTCCTCAGCGGCGGCTCGCACTTCTTGCACCGGGGACAGGATAGCGGTTAACGTATCAATCAAGGCTTCTTTAAGTCCTTGTTGAACCGGTCCAGCAGCGGCAGAGGCCGACCGAGGACCCGCCGCACTCATGCCTGCCATGTTTTCACCCGCAGAGCCTGGAAGCCTGGGAAACCCGCTTCACTAGTTAACACAGCCCCAAAGTCATAAACCCCGCATATTTCTACAAATTGTCTTCTTAAAATCTGATTTTTAACATAACCTTAACCACACTTCCTTATGACTAAATTAACACCCAAAAGCTTTTTTTTTTTTTTTTTTTTTAAAAATGATATTTGTAATTTTGAATGTGTGATTGTGGCTGTGTTATCTATTGGAAACCCGCTAGTCTTAATTTAAATGTAGGGTTAGCCATAATGTTAGCTGTGCGGTTAGGTTTTAAAATCATATTTTAAGAAGATACATTTTAGAAATGGGCGGGGTTTAGTAATTATGACAGTGGCTGTGTTAACTAGTGACGACCAGTCGCTGGGGACCAGTGAGCGGGACTTAGAAATAACATTTTTTCTTCCAAGATAATGCTTCCGCTTGTGATTAGCTCCATCTTTTGGCTAGGAGGTGATACAACTAACAGTAAAAAGTAAGTCTCCACTGACTTCAAAATAAGTGTTGTTCCAAGTGAGGAACTTTGATCTTAACTTGAGAACGTCAACGTTAGGCAAAATAGCCAGACTGAGTAGAATGAATGAAGATTGTTGAGTTGAGATACACTTACCCCCAGACACAGATGGTGACCCTATAGTGACTGTGCCATATGTTTAGCTGTCACTCAATTGAACCTGCTTCTTTACACATCACCTGGGATTAATGTCAATAGTTTTGAATCCTCCATCTCCTTCATCTGCATTAATCTGTACAGAGGTGAATGTATTGTGTTGGATACCTGCCTAGTGCCTACCTGCCTAGTTTCATCCTCCACAGTTACATTTTAAAGTTATAATAGGTCAGGCTACTGAAGAATAGACCAGTTCCTAAATGTTGCATCTTATGTGGCTGTGGCAACATGCAACAGAGATTGTTATCTACCATGAAGGCCATTTTGAAGGTTTGCTGATCTTGTTTTTCAAGCTGACAGTTGATTGGACATACAGATCATAACTGCCTCACACCATCAATTCAGGACACCATAGAGCTATAGAGAGCCTTAGTCTCTGAGACTCTGTCCAAAAACAACCCCTTACCCCTCTAGGTTTGCAGATCTGAAATAAGTGGATAGGTGTAAGCGACATAACCAGGAAGCTCCCCTAGACCAATTGGAAGAGTAGGTGAAAATCACAGTATAATAACCTAGTTTTACACCTATCCGGTCCCTTCAGATCTGCAAACCCCAAAGAGGTTAAGGAACAGGGGTTGTTTTTGGAAGAGGCAATTCTGTAGCCTACCACTGGGCATTGTCACCATCTTCATATTGTTCTTTCATTTTTCATCCACCTAACAGCAGCACATAGGGTAAGTGAATTGTATGCTTCGATGGGGTGAACTCATGATCTACCCGACAAACCCTCCCATCCCATTTACTCAGACAGTGTAACACTCTGCTTTTACAGCTGTAATTTAAGTCTTTGTACAAAATGTACAGGAAGTATTAGACACATGGAAAAGCAACGTACATTGAAAACACTCAATGTAAAAATAGAAAAAGCCAGGTGGTTTTTTGGTGCTGAAATTACACTCACTTATTGCTGCAGCGAGTCTGGCTAGGAAAACAGAGGAGAGACATCAAGGTAAACATACTAAACGAACGTAATAGCTGGAATCTGCTTTCCCACCACCGTCACAGTACCACTATTTGAAAAAGGCAAGGGCAATGTCTCAAGAGTGAGGCTTGGTGTACTCTCATGTCCAAATCTGGCAAAAGTTGACAAATAAATACATAAATACTGCTATTCACTAGTAACACACAGAGCCATGACGGAGCATATTCATATGGCTGAAGGTGTCCGGCCCTGGGGGTGCTGTAATTTTCCTTAATACAGAGAGGGTCATCGTGGTTGTGATCTGGTAGTAGGGCAAGGCTGTGGCCATAAAGGAGGCTCAGTTTGGAGAATATGGACATGACAAAATAGCAGCTTACAAAAAGAAATGGGACTCAGCCTCTGCACTAATCAATTGTTTCTTCATTTTTTAAGCAAAAAGAGTTTGGTTTATGTAGAAACAAGCAATGTTTTGCATTTGGATATTTTCCTCTCCTTTAAAAGAGTTCAAGCTTTAAAGATAAATAAAAAGATTCCCCCTCTGACAATGTAGGCCGATGTTGGTGACAAAAAGCAAAGACAGCCTGGGGAGAGCTCACAATGGAGATACTATAGATAACATATACACTGACTGTACAAAACATTAGAAACACCTGATCTTTCCATGACATAAACTGACCAGGTGAATCCAGGTGAAAGCTATGATCCGTTATTGATGTCACTTGTTAAATCCACATCAATCAGTGTAGATGAAGGGGAGGAACAGGTTAAAGAAGGATTTTTAAGCCTTGAGCCAGGTGTACTGGTTTGTGTCAAGAACTGCAATGCTGCTGGGTTTTTCACTCTCAACAGTTTCCTGTGTGTATAAGAATGGTCCACCACCCAAGGACATCCAGCCAACTTGACACAACAGTGGGAAGCTTTGGAGTCAACATGGGCCAGCATCCATGTGGAATGCTTTCGACACCTTGTAGAGTCTATGCCCCAACAAATGTAGACTGTTTTGAGGGCAAAAGGGGGGGGGGGGGGTTAACTCAATATTAGGAAGGTGTTCTTAATGTTTTGTACACTTAGTGTACATAAAATATACAATCTGAAATATATTTTATATATATTAAATTGTGTTAGGATTCAATATATTTTACTACACAACATTAGGGTGGCATGTCTGCTTATTTTTCTTCTTTAAATCCTATTATATATAAACTAGAGGAAAGTAAAGAAAGACAAATTAATCAACAAACAAACAAATGTGGGAAAATGGAAACTAAGTAACAGACGGCATCTTCGTCCCCCCCACCCCACCCCTACCCAGGGTGCACCAGCACAGGGGGCGGCTGAGGCCTACCTAGCTGTACAGCGCAGTGAAACATACCTTACATCTTAGCTCATTTTACACGTACAGTCGTGATCAAGGCACAGGGATCTTCTACAAGTTATTTTTTTCAATAAAGTTGTACAAAATAATACATTTTTCAGTCTGTACAAGAATAATAGTCCAGCAGTAAAATAAAGACAGACATACTGAAAGCTCGGAGGCTGGGAGAGAGGAGAGGAGGCAGGGGAAAATACAAGGATGTGAAGGAGTACAGTAAGTGATGAGGGCCGGACTCTGTGTGTGTGTCATGTTTATCTTTTGCTTCCTCAACTTTCTCTTTCTGTTTGTTGCTGTTATTTTATCCTTATTAAATAAAACCGTTCCTATAATTCCCACGTGTTGAAAATAGTTAATGTTCAGGGTGTTGGAGTTGGGTAGCAGCAGGAAGGCAGGGAGAAGAGAAGGGGTGATTTGGGAGGTAGGAAACAGGATAATCAGGGTTAAATGGTGCACAAAGGCAGATCGCACACACAGTGTACACCAACACACAACATGGGGGACCAATAAACTTAAAAGTTGACTTTTACAGGAATATATATATATATATATATATATATATATATATATATATATATATATATATACACACATATATATATACTGTATATATATATATACTGTATACACACACATATATATACACATATATATGTATATATATACATTTACATATATATATATATACATATACATACATATATATATATACAGTACCAGTCAAGAGTTTGGACACACCTACTCATTCAAGGGTTTTTCTTTCTTTTTACTATTTTCTACATTGTAGAATAATAGTGAAGACATCAAAACTATGAAATAACACATATGGAATCATGTAGTAACCAAAAAAGTGTTAAACAAATAGAAGTATATTTTAGATGTTATAATCTCCAAAGTAGCCACCCTTTGCCTTGATGACAGCTTTGCACACTCTTGGCATTCTCTCAACCAGCTTCATGGGGAATGCTTTTCCAACAGTCTTGAAGGAGTTCCCACATATGCTGAGCACTTGTTGGCTGCTTTTCCATCACTCTGCGGTCCAACTCATCTCAATTGGGTTGAGGTCGGGTGATTGTGGAGAACAGGTCATCTGATGCAGCACTCCATCACTCTCCTTCTGGGTCAAATAGCCCTTACACAGCCTGGAGGTGTGTTGGGTCATCGTCCTGTTGAAAAACAAATGATAGTCCCACTAAGCGCAAACCAAATGGGATGGCGTATCACTGCAGAATGCTGTGGTAGCCATGCTGGTTAAGTGCGCCTTGAATTCTAAATAAATCACAGACACTCTCACCAGAAAAGCACCCCCATACCATCACACCTCCTCCTCCATGCTTCACGGTGGGAACAACACATGCGGAGATCATCCGTTCACCTACTCTGCATCTCACAAAGACACGGCGGTTGGAACCAAAAATCTCACATTTGGACTCACCAGACCAAAGGACAGATTTCCACCGGTCTAATGTCCATTGCTCGTGTTACTTGGCCCAAGCAAGACTCCTCTTCTTATTGGTGTCCTTTAGTAGTGGTTTCTTTGCAGCAATTCGACCATGAAGGCCTGATTCACACAGTCTCCTCTGAACAGTTGATGTTGAGATGTGTCTGTTACTTGAACTCTGTGAAGCATTTATTTGGGCTGCAATTTCTGAGGTGCAGTTAACTCTAATGAACTTATCCTCTGCAGCAGAGGTAACTCTGGGTCTTCCTTTCCTGTGGCGGTCCTCACATTGACTGACCTTCATGTCTTAAAGTAATGATGGACTGTCGTTTCTCTTTGCTTATTTGAGCTGTTCTTGCCATAATATGGACTTGGTCTTTTACCAAATAGGGCTATCTTCTGTATACCACTCCTACCTTGTCACAAAACAACTGATTTAAGAAGGAAAGAAATTCTACAAATTAACTTTTAACAAGGCACACCTATTAATTGAAATGCATTCCAGGTGACTACCTCATGAAGCTGGTTGAGAGAATGTCAAGAGTGTGCAAAGCTGTCATCAAGGCAAAGGGTGACTACTTTGAAGAATCTCAAACATAAAATATATTTTGATTTGTTTAACACTTTTTTGGTTACTACATGATTCCATATGTGTTATTTCATAGTTTTGATGTCTTTACTATTATTCTAGAATGTAGAAAATAGTAAAAAGAAAGAAAAAACCTGGAATGAGTAGGTGTGTCCAAACATTTGACTGGTACTGTATATATACGGTGAGGGGAAAAAAGTATTTGATCCCCTGATGATTTTGTACGTTTGCCCACGGACAAAGAAATGATCAGTCTATAATTTTAATGGTAGGTTTATTTGAACAGTGAGAGACAGAATAACAACAAAAAAAATCCTGAAAAACGCACGTGAAAAATGTTATAAATTGATTAGCATTTTAATGAGAGAAATAAGTATTTGACCCCCTCTCAATCAGAAAGATTTCTGGCTCCCAGAGTGTCTTTTATACAGGTAACGAGCTGAGATTAGAAGCACTCTCTTAAAGGGGGTGCTCCTAATCTCAGTTTGTTACCTGTATAAAAGACACCTGTCCACTGAAGCAATCAATCAGATTCCAAACTCTCCACCATGGCCAAGACCAAAGAGTTCTCCAAGGATGTCAGGGACAAGATTGTAGACCTACACAAGGCTGGAATGGGCTACAAGACCATCGCCAAGCAGCTTGGTGAGAAGGTGACAACAGTTGGTGCGATTACACGCAAATGGAAGAAACACAAAATAACTGTCAATCTCCCTCGGCCTGGGGCTCCGTGCAAGATCTCATCTCGTGGAGTTGCAATGATCATGAGAACCTTGAGGAATCAGCCCAGAACTACACAGGAGGATCTTGTCAATGATCTCAAGGCAGCTGGGACCATAGTCACCAAGAAAACAATTGGTAACACACTACGCCGTGAAGGACTGAAATCCTGCAGCGCCCGCAAGGTCCCCCTGCTCAAGAAAGCACATATACAGGCCCGTCTGAAGTTTGCCAATGAACATCTGAATGATTCAGAGGAGAACTGAGTGAAAGTGTTGTGGTCAGATGAGACCAAAATCGAGCTCTTTGGCATCAACTCAACTCGCCGTGTTTGGAGGAGGAGGAATGCTGCCTATGACCCCAAGAACACCATCCCCACCGTCAAACATGGAGGTGGAAACATTATGCTTTGGGGGTGTTTTTCTGCTAAGGGGACAGGACAACTTCACCGCATCAAAGGGACGATGGACCGGGCCATGTCATGTCAAATCTTGGGTGAGAACCTCCTTCCCTCAGCCAGGGCATTGAAAATGGGTCGTGGATGGGTATTCCAGCATGACAATGACCCAAAACACATGGCCAAGGCAACAAAGGAGTGGCTCAAGAGGAGGCACATTAAGGTCCTGGAGTGGCCTAGCCAGTCTCCAGACCTTAATCCCATAGAAAATCTGTGGAGGGAGCTGAAGGTTCGAGTTGCCAAAACGTCAGCCTCGAAACCTTAATGACTAGGAGAAGATCTGCAAAGAGGAGTGGGACAAAATCCCTCCTGAAATGTGTGCAAACCTGGTGGCCAACTACAAGAAACGTCTGACCTCTGTGATTGCCAACAAGGGTTTTGCCACCAAGTACTAAGTCATGTTTTGCAGAGGGGTCAAATACTTATTTCCCTCATTAAAATGCTAATCAATTTATAAAATTTTTGACATGCATTTTTCTGGATTTTGTTGTTGTTATTCTGTCTCTCACTGTTCAAATGAACCTACCATTAAAATTATAGACTGCTCATGTCTTTGTCAGTGGGCAAACGTACAAAATCAGCAGGGGATCAAATACTTTTTTCCCCTCACTGTATATACATATATATATATATACACATATTTATATACACATAATATAAATATCTATCTATATCTATATATATATATCTATATATATATATATATATATATATATATATATATATATATATATATATATATATATATATATATATATATATAGCTTGGATTATTTTGCACTGCATCAAGTTCACTGTATGCATGAATTAATGCATTGTATGTTTTTGCCTTTCATCCTCATTGATTCCAGAAGTGAAAGTCATGTGACAGTCTTGTGTCCGAGTCACACTCATGCATCCATCCCCAGGCAGAGTCTGCTCCCAACCTGCCTCTTTATTGGTTACATTCCTCCATCCTTTCACCTCATCCATCATTTCCTTCCCAGGGTCCTGCTTCGGCACGTATGCATATACTGGATCTCTCGAGAACTGTGACGTCGCCAGAGTAACTCAGGCACTGCGTTTAGCTTTTCAAGGCTGAAAACAGTGGGACAAAAAGCGTGTGTTTGTGTGTGTTTTTGTCTCTGTGTGTGCCGGGGATATTCCCAAGTAGAAGAATGAATGTGAGACACTGACAATTAGAGAGGGTTCCGCGTGTGTTAGTGTGCGCATGTGGTGTGTATGCTTGAGAGAGATCTAGAAAGAGCCATGGATTGCAGTCCTGAGCACAGGTTCAAAGTGCAGTGGAGAGTTCAGCAGTTCTGGCTTGTTACTGATACGGTACTGTGTTTAGGAGTCTGTCTGTTGTCACTTTCTTTATTTGAAACACAGTGTCCCCAGGAGAAGGTGTTTGTTTGTCAAGATGGAAGGGGAGGGTTGGTTGAGTGACAAGGGGACTAACTGGTCAAGGATAGGCAGAACACCGGCAGTACACCGGGAGTCTCTCCTCCCACTCCTATCACAAGAGCTCATATTGTCGTAAGTGCATCCTCTGAATGATGTCTCGACAGTCGTTGAAGACGCGCCGGATGTTTTCAGTATCCACTGCGCAGGTGAAATGGGGATAACAATAATGCCTTCCGTCTCCGCTGGCTGTGCTGATCCTCTGAAAAGGCCACAGAGAAGAGAAGGGATTCATATTCACATAGGGCTGTGTGCATATTGGTCTGAGACTGCTACACACAGTCTCATACAAAAAGGTCAACAAAAAGGTGAATGGACATTAAAGGCACGTACCAGAAACTCATCACGTATGAAGTACTTTGCCCTTGTGACACGAGGATCCTCCCCTGGCTCTGGTGTTGCTGGTTGAGAAGGACAAATAGACCAAATCACTGATATAATCATCATCTGTCTAATCACCGTATACTAGACATTTTCATTTCCATCAGTAAAATAATCCATGTCAACAAGATTCATTCTTCACCAAAAAGTTCCAAAGTGTTCCAAGTTATATTATTACAATTGTTACATTTACAGATTAACTTAAAATAGTTGATCTCGACAGCCTTGAATAGTTACAGTAGATAGTTGATCAAGAGTATTACTGTATTTCTCTTACCATCATCTGGCGTGGTGTAGCGTGCAAACTCTGGGAAATACTCTTCAATTTTAGATTTCCCTGCCAACACCTTCTCTGCTAGCAGGTCCTGTTTGTTCAGGAAGAGAATGACAGAAATAGTCCGTAGCCACCTGAGGTGAGAAACAACAACAAAGTGAGTTCAGGTAGATGTATTCAAGTCAATGACTAATACATTTACACAGCACACCACGGTTCTACAAATCATTGACCTAGGCCAGAAATTAAATTGAATTGTGGCGCATTGAATTTTAAATGAGCACAAAGGGTAAAAAATCCCTATCGGCAACTGCTGTGGCTGGGATTAACACAACAATTCAGTATGTCAAGGACAGTAATGGCTTTGTGAGGGGGAGAGAGAGGGAGATGACTAAAAGGGGGAGAGAGCATTGAGAGGTCTTGCCTGTTGTTCCAGATGTTCTTGAAGAGGTTGAGGGCCTCCTGCAACCGGTTGGTCTGATTGTCTTCCCGGATCACCATGTTGTAGCTGCTGCTGGCCACCACGAAGATAATGGCCGTCACATCTGGAGGGACAGACAAGCAGAGAGAATCACCACTGGGTTAGATATGATACAGGACCTGTTCATGGATGTGAAGGTGGATGCATCCCCATGCCATTTGCTATCCACTTATCGGCGGGTAGAAATACAACAGTATTGGGTGGTACAGAGGCCTTACCATTAAAACACTGAATCCACTTTCGGCGTTCGTCCCTCTGACCTCCAACATCAAACATACTGGGAGAGGGGAAAAGACAACGAGAGTTACTTCCTGCCCAATAGATCAACTGATAACAAGTAACAGTAACACAAAGGGATCAACAGTTTACTAGGGTATTCATCTTCCATTTAAAGAAAAATGGCTGACACATCAAACTCACTGAAAATTGACTTTGTCCACTTGGAATCTTGTCTCGAAGATCCCTGAAGTCAGTACTCTGCATCTCAACAAGTCCTGATCAGTGGGAGTGTAGTCACTCTGCTTCACGATTTCAATCTTGTCTAAAAAGCTGTAAAAGCGGAAGCAGAATAGATGACACACTTGACAGCTAAGGTCACACAATAGGATATATAGAGAGTATCATGTGCATAACAATTAACAGAAATGACTCCTTTGCATTACATCCTATAACAACATTCCTCTTTCCTGAGCTACAGATGACCAAACCCCACACAGTACCCCGAATTACCAACCATCAAAAATGGTCAAACCAGAACTGTTGTATAATACCAAAACCTCAATGCGTGTTATGGCTGCATTTGAAACATTACATTCCTGTTATCTGTCTGTGAACTCAGGGCTTCAGCCAGCTGCAGGAGAGACATGGAGGGATAACCATTACCACACATAATGTTTCATCATACATTTGCTGTCAAACTGACCAGACCATACATATTCTCAGGATGACATTGGTAGGCATTCCACCTCTGGTAAATTCCATACCAGACAGACAAGGGAAGGGAGCCTACAAGTCACCAACCAGTAAAGCAAAAAGACGGAGAACACTTCCACAAATGACCAGCAGAGGGAGTGTCTTTTTTTTCTCCACAGCGAGATCACAGAGGCTCGCAGTGTGAGTCACCAGCCGTTTGCTCTGTCAGACACTGTAGTCAATGGAGCTGCTGTAGTAGTAATAGTGAGGGGGAGGGGGAGACTTTAAATGTTAGACGCACACAGTTCAACCATGAAACATGTTTATGCTGAATTTAGAGAGCTAATGGTCTATAGATGACTGACTGATGTGACTTGTCGTCGTCAGCCAGCAGAGGCCAATCGGATCCACCCCTCCATCCTAAGAGACCCTCCCTTTTTTCTACATGTGAACCTGGACCCTAAGTGTGGACTGTCGTCATTGGTCCAGTCAATTGGGCAGAGGGTCTTGCTAGAATGGTGTGACAAGCCTAACCTCACACCACAGACATATGCTATATGTTTCAACATCAGAGCGGACTTGTGTGTTGTGTCGTCCCAATCAAATAGAATGACTGCTGTGTGAAATAAAGGGAAAACAGCTCATTTCCACAGGGAAGTGCAGTGATTCAGGGCATTACTGAAGATCTCCAGGGAGACTTGCTGTTGGAATAGGGAGGCCTGGTAACCCGCCTCACGTCCAGTACCCCACCATGGAGAAACAGTGTGTTGCCTGTCCGCCTTCCTGCCTCTCAGAGCAGAGGTACGTAACCCCCCTGAGATAACCAGGAATGTGACACACTGGGGTGAAATGTGACAGGAGGGCTGCAGGTCACACACAGAGAGAGAGGAGGGGGGAGGTTGTGCAGACAGACAGACAGACAGGCACACACACACACAGACACACTCACGCTCTCTCTTTCTCTCTCTCTCTCACACACACAGACACATACATCCCCACGCATAAAGAGCCAGCAAGCTACCACCTCCCTCTTGGGACTGAGTGGTGAGGCTGGTCTCATACCACAACTGCTCTGATGTGTCCACGGATCCAGTCCAAATACACATCTCAATTTTAGAATGTCTCCCTATTAATAGAGCTAGTCCAATAATAACCCTCCCCAGTAGTCAGACTGAATAATAGTGTTGCCCCAGTAACAGTTCAGCCCATACCGCTACATGTAGGTACACTAATCTGGTGTAGTTATATTGGTGATCTCAAAAGTAGTTATATTGGTGATCTCAAAAGTATTTTCTAGGATATCATCTTTATATCTATTTGTCCAGCACTGGTAACTTGTAATTAGACTTACAGCCCCAGTTTGTGAGGTTTCCATTAATTTCATATATCTTTAACTTTAAGTAAAAGTATCCTAAGTTTGATAACAGGGGAATGTTCTACAAAGCAGGCTACAGCATGGCATAACTTAATATCTCTGGGGCATTGCTCCAAACATCTTAGACAACACACACACACACACCACACACTGGACATGAATCATATGACTTGTACAACAATGACTATTTGTTGACATTTTCCACCGAGAAATGTATGGGATCTACTGCCAACCGACAACATTCTACAGCATTTATTTAATTTTTTGCCAAGTTCACGTCATTGAACTAAAACATGTAGTTCATTTTGTTTTAAACGTTGCACAAAAAAAAGACATTGTCCACTCACAGTTTTCCATTTTCTACAAATCTTTGAACACATTCTGTTAGCATAAAACATTGGTTTGCTTATTGTTGGTTAAGATTCATGACCATTAAACATTTTTAGAAAAAAAGACGTGTAAGGAGTATTTGTAAAAATAAATATAAAAAGAAGACGTGTAAGGAGTATTTCCAAATGTGGAACATTTAACGATTCAGTCAATCAAAATCGTAGTGAACTAGTAATTGGTATTGTACATACACATGGCGGTACCTCCACGGCAGTACAATTGGACGATCAGGCCAGAATCAGGCTATATTTTTGCTGGGCATGTTTACTCAAGTGTAGTAAGGAAATCATCATGGCAACCAAGGATGATGCTGTGTTCCTTGTATGTGCATTGTTATGCTCCGGAAAAGCGAAGACAACATTTAAAAAAGAAGCTAATTTGGGCACGTGACTGGTTACGGAAAAGAGGACTAAATGGATTGTCAAAAAGAGCTTGAGGTAAGAACAGGTTTAAATGCGACCTGTAACATCCCACTGGGCACACACTGGTTGAATCAACATTGTTTTAACGTAATTTGTCAACGTATTGTGACGTGTAATCAATGTGGAAAATGCATTGGATTTGAAAAAAGTCAACCAGTACTGTTTTCATCTCATTTCAAACAGCCTTGTAAATTGAAACTTCAACTTAAATACATTGACTTAACCTGTCTAACAGCTTGTTACATCAATCTAATTTCAACATAATCGTCAGAACAATGTATACGTTGAAATTCCATAGAAAATTCCACATAGAAATGTAAAAAATATTTTTCTGCATATATTCAATATATTGGGTGGTTGAAATTATGTTGAATCTCTGATTTGATAAGATATTTTATTTGACCTTGTTTCAATGTTGATAGTAAAATGGTACAGTATGTTTGAATCAACGTCATTGTTTCAACATCATGCTATCAATCTAAATAAAGAGGTATATTGAAATAAAATGTGAAGCAACAGTCCAACGATTCCTGCCTGAACCTTGACTCCTACTATGAGGAATAATGCACTTCAGTGAGAACGGGTCTACCATCCATATGCCTACCTCTATCTACCCTGTTTAGCTTTCGAAACAAGCTGTATTCGATTCAGCTGACCTATCATGTCAACACAGTTAGACATTGATCAGCTTCCATACTCATTTGCGTAGACTACCTAAATAACATTGAAAAGTTGAAAGTAACTCCTCTAACTTTTCTTACACAAGCTGTATGTTAAATTAAATTCAGAGTGAGGTTGGGTTTATGTAGGCTACATTGTCATCTGATTTGCCCAATAAATGACACCATAATTTCAACGTGTAGGTAGGTATACTGTCATTCATCCATAGTTGATTGGACCTTTGGAAGTTCTAAAGTAGTTACCATTAGTTACCATTAGTTACCATTAGTTAGTTACCATAGTGGGTGATAAATAGGATGTCAAATTCATTATATTAATAATACACTTTTACCTTTGGATATTGTCTTGTATATGAAGGATGGTTGGTTGATTTCCAATTTAATCGAAAAGTTATTAATGTGTTGGATTCACGTCTCCATCTCAACCAAAAATCTAAGTTGAAGATTAGGACTAAATCAAATCAAACTTTATTTGAAGTGCATTTAAAGTTTTATTTGATTCAGTGCTATTTTTTTACTTCGATTTTTGGTTGAGATGAAAACGTGAATCCAACATATAAATAATTTGTAAACAAACTGGATTGAATGAATTGTGAAAGCAACCAAATATCAACATTTGAAGGAGATGTATCTTCTGCTTGGATAGTATATATACTGTATATTATGAATAACATATATAAAAGACAATATCCAAACGTAAAAGTTTATTATTAACATCATGAATTTGGTATCCTACTTAAATGGCTAATGGGAACTACTTCTAAACTTCAAAAGATCCAATCAATCATGGACGAATGATAGTATACATCACGTTGAAATTATGGTGTCCTTTGGGCAAATCAATGTCAATGTTATTTAGGTAGTCTACGCAAATGAGTATGGAAGCTGATCAATGTCTAAATGTATTAACATGATAGCTCAGATGAATCGAATACAGCTGGTTTCCAAAGCTAAGCAGGGTATATTAGCAACAGTAATCAACATTGTTAAAAGGTTTTAAAAACAATTCTTATAAATGCAACAGTTGGACAATGGATGAAGCTACTCCAAACTTTTTGAATTTTTATAATCCATCAGATATTGATTGAATAATAGCCTATAAAAGTTTACTGGCACAGACAAATAATGAATGGAGTTCGGGGGTTTTGGTGGGAATTCAGGTATTCAATTTATTGTCAAATTTTACTTTTTTCTTAGAATGAACTCATATATACACTACCAGTCAAAAGTTTGGACACACCTACTCATTCAAGGGGTTTTCTTTATTTGTACTATTTTTCACATTGCATAATAGTGAAGACATCAAAACTATGAAATAACACATATGGAATCATGTAGTAACCAAAAAAGTGTTAAACAAATCTAAATATATTTTATATTTGAGATTCTTCATATAGCCACCCTTTGCCTTGATGACAGCTTTGCACACTCTTGACATTCTCTTGACCAGCTTCATGAGGTAGTCACCTGGAATGCATATCAATTAACAGGTATGCCTTCTTAAAAGTTAATTTGTGGAATTTCTTTCCTTCGTAATGCGTTTGAGCCAATCAGTTGTGTTGTGACAAGGTAGGGGGGGTATACAGAAGATAGCCCTATTTGGTAAAAGACCACAAGTCCATATTATGGCAAGAACAGATCAAATAAGCAAAGAGAAACAACAGTCCATCATTACTTTAAGACATGAAGGTCAGTCAATACGGAACATTTCAAGAACTTTGAAAGTTTCTTCAAGTGCAGTCGCAAAAACCATGAAGCGCTATGACGAAACTGGCTCTCATGAGGAGCGCCACAGGAATAGAAGACCCAGAGTTACCTCTGCTGCAGAGGATAAGTTCATTAGAGTTACCAGCCTCAGAAATTGCAGCCCAAATAAATGCTTCACAGAGTTCAAGTCACAGACACATCTCAACATCAACTGTTCAGAGGAGACTGTGTAAATCAGGCCTTCATGGTCGAATTGCTGCTAAGAAACCACTACTAAAGGACACCAATAATAAGAAGAAACCTGCTTGGGCCAAGAAACACGAGCAATGGACATTAGACTGGTGGAAATTTGTCCTTTGGTCTGATGAGTCCAAATTTGAGATTTCTGGTTCCAACCGCTGTGTCTTTGTGAGACGCGGTGTGGGTGAACCGATGATCTCCGCATGTGTAGTTCCCACCGTAAACCATAGAGGAGGAGGTGTTATGGTGTGGGGGTGCTTCGCTGGTTACACTGTCTGTGATTTATTTAGAATTCAATGCACACTTAACCAGCATGGCTACCACAGCATTCTGCAGCGATACGCCATCCCATCTGGTTTGGGCTTAGTGGGACTATCAGTTATTTTTCAACAGGACAATGACCCAACACACCTCCAGGCTGTGTAAGGGCTATTTGACCAAGAAGGAGAGTGATGGAGTGCTGCATCAGATGACCTGGCCTCCACAAAGTCAGCTTGCAGGCGCCCGGCCCGCGACAAGGAGTCGCTACAGCGAGATGGGACAAGGAAATCCCAGCTGGCCAATTGTGCGCCGCCTCATGAGTATCCTGGTGGGTCTCCCGGTCACGGCTGGCTGTGACATAGCCTGGGATCGAACCTGGGTCTGTAGTGATGCCTCAAGCAATGCGATGCAGTGCTTTAGACCGCTGCGCCCCTCGGGAGGCCATATATACAGTGGGAAAAAAAGTATTTAGTCAGCCACCAATTGTGCAAGTTCTCCCACTTAAAAAGATGAGAGAGGCCTGTAATTTTCATCATAGGTACACGTCAACTATGACAGACAAATTGAGAAGAAAAAAAATCCAGAAAATCACATTGTAGGATTTTTTATGAATTTATTTGCAAATTATGGTGGAAAATAAGTATTTGGTCACCTACAAACAAGCAAGATTTCTGGCTCTCACAGACCTGTAACTTCTTTTTTAAGAGGCCTCCACTCGTTACCTGTATTAATGGCACCTGTTTGAACTTGTTATCAGTATAAAAAGACACCTGTCCACAACCTCAAACAGTCACACTCCAAACTCCACTATGGCCAAGACCAAAGAGCTGTCAAAGGACACCAGAAACTAAATTGTAGACCTGCACCAGGCTAGGAAGACTGAATCTGCAATAGGTAAGCAGCTTGGTTTGAAGAAATCAACTGTGGGAGCAATTATTTTGGAAATGGAAGACATACAAGACCACTGATAATCTCCCTCGATCTGGGGCTCCACGCAAGATCTCACCCCGTGGGGTCAAAATGATCACAAGAACGGTGAGCAAAAATCCCAGAACCACACGGGGGGACCTAGTGAATGACCTGCAGAGAGCTGGGACCAAAGTAACAAAGCCTACCATCAGTAACACACTACGCCGCCAGGGACTCAAATCCTGCAGTGCCAGACGTGTCCCCCTGCTTAAGCCAGTACATGTCCAGGCCCGTCTGAAGTTTGCTAGAGTGCATTCGGATGATCCAGAAGAGGATTGGGAGAATGTCATATGGTCAGATGAAACCAAAATATAACTTTTTGGTAAAAACTCAACTCGTCGTGTTTGGAGGACAAAGAATGCTGAGTTGCATCCAAAGAACACCATACCTACTGTGAAGCATGGGGGTGGAAACATCATGCTTTGGGGCTGTTTTTCTGCAAAGGGACCAGGACGACTGATCCGTGTAAAGGAAAGAATGAATGGGGCCATGTATCGTGAGATTTTGAGTGAAAACCTCCTTCCATCAGCAAGGGCATTGAAGATGAAACGTGGCTGGGTCTTTCAGCATGACAATGATCCCAAACAAACCGCCCGGGCAACGAATGAGTGGCTTCGTAAGAAGCATTTCAAGGTCCTGGAGTGGCCTAGCCAGTCTCCAGATCTCAACCCCATAGAAAATCTTTGGAAGGAGTTGAAAGTCCGTGTTGCCCAGCGACAGCCCCAAAACATCACTGCTCTACAGGAGATCTGCATGGAGGAATGGGCCAAAATACCAGCAACAGTGTGTGAAAACCTTGTGAAGACTTACAGAAAACGTTTGACCTGTGTCATTGCCAACAAAAGGTATATAACAAAGTATTGAGAAACTTTTGTTATTGACCAAATACTTATTTTCCACCATCATTTGCAAATAAATTCATTAAAAATCCTACAATGTGATTTTCTGGAGAAAATAAATCTCATTTTGTCTGTCATAGTTGACGTGTACCTATGATGAAAATTACAGGCCTCTCTCATCTTTTTAAGTGGGAGAACTTGCACAATTGGTGGCTGACTAAATACTTTTTTCCCCCACTGTATTTTCTTATTGTATCAGGTATTCTTTTAATTAAATATGCCCTATTTGCATAAATACACCGGGTGTATTTGCATATTAATACATTAACATAAAGGGGCGGTACAGGGCTGCAACCACCAAACACTTGCTCTGTCTTCCCTACCTGTACTCACCTGCGCTGTCTAGACTATGTGCCCTTGAGCAAGGCACTTAACCCTAATTGCTCCTGTAAGTCGCTCTGGATAAGAGCGTCTGCTAAATGACTAAAATGTAAATGTAAAATGTAGACTGCCTCATTAATTACTGTTGCTGTGATGTTCTGTTGCATAAGTGTGTCAATAGCAGGATACAAAAATCAACACACTTGGCTCTAGATTACACCTATCTAAACATACTTTACATTGTTTGCGAGATCAGACATAATTCCACTATAATCCAAGTGTTCATTTTCGGAAGTTGCTTTCATTTCAATGCATCTAATTTGTAAACATTTCAACTCTATTAAATGATTACTTTTTCAATTCCCTCCCCAAAAAACAACAATATTAAAATAATGTTATCTTTCTTATTTTTCTTGTGATGTAAGTGTCAAGACAGTGGGTTAAATCCCAGACGAAGCATTAGCGTTCTTATAGATTCAACAGAAAGCCAATGTCTCCCATTGAGCCCATTTCAGCCATTACCAGGGTGTGTTTGACAGGTCATTACAAAAATGTTTGCGGTCTTAACGTTAACGGGGAAAAATGACAGGCACTAGCAAGAGTATGAAAGAGTCGCAGGAGTAAAAAGAAAGCAAGCAATCCGGCGAGATTTAAGTGACAAGTGGATTTTGCACCCCTCAAACGCAAGAAATAGATGGCTGAAAAAGACAGATCCTCAGGTGGGCGGGGCATGCGCGTTGCTAGGGTATATAGAGGTAGGCATCTAGATGGTAGACTTGTTCTCACTGAAGTACATTACCCCTCATATACCAGTAGGAGTCAATGTTCAGGCAGGAATTGTTGGACTGTGGCTTCAAATTTTATTTCAATAGACTAAGGTAACACTGACGACATCTTTTAGGGAGCGGTAATGAGGTGACCAATAATGGTTGCAATTCAGAACAGCTGTGCGGGTGAATTTAGCGCGTATTGATGGTTTAACAAAACATCAACTGGTGATAATCTCGTGCGATTGATGGTTGCAATAGGCCCCTTGTTATTTGATTATATTCTAATACATTCTGTAGGCTACCCGTTAGCCTATCCATTGTCACATAATGAAAGGTGTGAAAACTGATAATAGGCTACCGTTTGTGTTTCCCTGGCTGAGCTGATGAGCTGATTTCGGACATCAGTTGATTGACAGCTGATTGAACAGCTGATTTCACCATCCCCACTCCTGCAATTTGCGCCAACCCCGTCTCTTTAATCGTGCGACAATGATTTGGTCATTATCATTCAAGTATCTGGCACTTTTCTGCACCCACGTGTTAATGTTAAAATCCTCCCACTGCTAAATGGCATATTATTAGGCCTAGATCATCATTATAATGTATTATCATTATATTATACAAGCCTATTATTATTTCTTAAAGGTACTTTTTAACGAGTAGGGCAGTCCCAATCTTTGAGCTTTTATTGAAGAGATAGAACTGTGTTGGAAAGACGGGAAGGGTGAGTCAAAGGGCAGTGGGCCGGATTTGAACCCATGTGGACTCTGGCGTATGTGTGCCGGGGTCAGCGGCCGTAACTGCACAGGCACTGAGACCACCAATAATGTATTCTGCCTATTGCTTGCTTTGAACATATGATAAAACAATTGATAAATACATCTACCCCCTACAAATGTGTCACTTTATTATAATCCACATAAGAATTCACACGAGACGTGATGTAGTCTGCATGTAGCCTACATAGGCTACTTGAACTGATGCCCAGTGGACATGGGGTATCCTATGAAGCAGGTTTGAGGAGTTAGCGAGGTAGCTTTGGTCAACTCTGAGTTCAACTCGGGATAACCGGTCATACGAAAGTGGCTCACCTTTTAGCCAGGTACATTTCTATGGCAACGAATCCTTCAGAACTAACCTGCTCCGGGGCAGGCTAACTCATGGCTAACTCCACTTCCCCTGAATGAAATGACTGAGCCGCGAATGGGGACCGATGAAATCAGATTCCCTCCCTCTTGAAAAGATTACGGCATCATCCCCTTCATTTGAGGAAGATGACTGATTAATTATTTTATTAAATCAAAATTTTTTGTGTTAAAAATAGTTCTGTTACAATATATCACATTACACATTTATTAATGAGAGAATGCATTTTAAAGTTCAAGCACAGTAACACTTCTGTATGACTTTCATTCAATTATTTGATTGATAGGAGTGGGAAAAAGGTGCTTGTACTTGTGATAAGCACACCAAAGCACACCAAAAACGACATAAACGATAAGTAATAAGATAAAGATGGCACTCCTAAAAGCCTACTTCACACCATAGCCTGCTGAATTTGCAAGATACATTTTCTTTCATTTTGATTGTCTCAATGAAGAGTTTTGATTGTCTCAATGATGTGCACGCGCAGTTACAAGCCTGCTAGAGTTAGCGGCAGGCGGACAAGCAATACCCACCGTCATAGTACGGATGAAGCCTGAGCTGGAATGTGAAGCTAACTGAAGCTGGTTAGCTTTTGAAAACCCAGAGTAGATCTAGCTTGCGTCACCTCTGCAGTCTAAAAATATCCTGCATAGCTTATAAACACAACGAGACTGACAGTTTAGCTTAAAATGTTGATAAACGATTATTTCTTCACATTATAAGCGCAGCAATGCACACATGTTATGCGCACCAATGTTCCAAAATGGAAGTAGCGAGAAAACACCGGTCTAATGCGCACCACACATGCCAGCAGTTTCATATGACAGAGATGGAAATACACATCTGTTAAAAATTTAGATGTAATGTTTGTGTTACGTTTTGTGTGTGTGTGGAGACAGTGAAAGAGAGTGATAACTAAACATTTATGAAAGTAAAAAAAATGTTTTATTGCCACACACTGGATAGGTGCAGTGAAATGTGTTGTTTTACAGGGTCAGCCATAGTAGTACGGCGCCCCTGGAGCAAATTAGGGTTAAGTGCCTTGCTCAAGAGCACATCAACTGATTTTTCACCTTGTCGGCTCAGGTATTCGAACCAGCAACCTTTCGCTTAATGGCCCAACGCTCTAACCGCTAGGCTACCTGCCACCCGTTGTTGTTTTTACACGTTTCCGCAAGTTGTTGTTTCACAAACAAATATTTGATATAAGGCTTCCTATATTACGTTGATGGACATTAGAAAAATGTATAATTTGTGTATGACCTGATGTAAACATATGTTAGCTTGAGCTACAACACTATTAATAACATATCTTACCAGCTATTTCTATCTCCAGGGCTATTTCCCTCCACCGTCGGTCTTTCTCCACTCTGTCGTGGTAGCTCTCCAACTGTCGTGGTAGCTCTAGCAATGTTGGTCCTGCCACAATTCAACAATTTTTTCCTCTTTGGCACAAGACCATAGTGCACACACTGGTGCGTCTTGTTTTCTTTTTGGTGGCATTGTTGTGATGAACTTGTGAGGTAGTTGAAGAGAACCTTTATAGTTCTGAGTAGCTGATAGTGGGACATGTCTCGCATCTGCTATGAGCACTGCTCACACTTGGCGATAATGCCCGGGAGCGATCAACCACAAATCGGGTATGTGCTTACCCTTTACAGGCTGCGGCATTATGTTTTGCTCCAGGTTTGCTCAGATTTCCTACGACTTGGAAAAATGCACCGGGAGCTGATTGGGAGCCCGTAGATCAGGCTAAAAACATGTAGTGTCCACCCAGTTTAAAAGGAGGGCTATGGCTGTTTACATTGCCTACTATGCCACTTTCTCTGTATAAAATGGGTCTTAACTTTTAAACTAGCAGAGATCTCACTCTGGAACTTTGAAATGCCCGTAGAGCACGTGTCAAACACAGAGCACGTGTCAAACACAAGGCCCTCGGCCCTTGCAATGATTTGGGTTGTCAATTCATTTTGGCCTGCTTGCAAACCGCCCACGACGTGCTGCACTACAAGTCACAGCAAGCACTGCCAATATGCTGCATGCCAGTAAAGGCCAAATTCAATATGTTATCAAATACTTAAAAAAATAAAAAAATGGTTATACCTACAGGAGTCCTACAATTCTAAATCAAATAGCTAAATGATCCATGACCACTCTTAAAGGGAGTGCTCCTAATCTCAGTTTGTTACCTGTATAAAAGACACCTGTCCACAGAAGCAATCAATCAATCATCAAGACCAAAAGTTCAAGGAGTCAGGACAGATTACTACCGGCTGAAGGCTAAAGACATCCAAAGAGGATGGAAGTGCAACAGTTGGTGCGATTATAATTGAATGATACTAAAAAAAATCTATTGGCTGGGTCCATTGAAGAATTCCGACGTGGAAGTAAGATTTTCCCATGTGATTTGACGTTGCCCACGACAAAAAATGAGCATTTTCAATAATTTAAGGCAGTTGGACATATCAACAGAAAACAATTGAAAAAACCAGAAAACGCAGTGAAATGTTCAGTAAGGTCCCCTTAGAAGCAAATAAGCGTTTGACCCAATTCAATCAAATGAATTCTGGCAGGTTCTTATACAGGTAACTGAGTGGTTAGGATGCAAACCTAAATCGAGTCTTAATCTCAATACTCAACTCGCTGTTAGAGAGAGATGAGCATACCAAGAGATCACTCCCACCTGCACAGGAGGGAAAATTAGCTTGGGATGTTGCAGTAGGGAACGACAAGTGGAATGGGCTACAAGACCATCGCCAAGCAGCTTGGTGAGAAGGTGACAACAGTTGGTGCGATTATTCACAAATAGAAGAAACACAAAATAACTGTCAATCTCCCTCGGCCTGGGGCTCCATGCAATGATCATGAGAACAGTGAGGAATCAGCCCAGAACTACACGGGAGGATCTTGTCAATGATCTCAAGGCAGCTGGGACCATAGTCACCAAGAAAACAATTGGTAACACACTACACCGTGAAGGACTGAAATCCTGCAGTGCCCGCAAGGTCCCCCTGCTCAAGAAAGTACATATACAGGCCCGTCTGAAGTTTGCCAATGAACATCTGAATGATTCAGAGGAGAACTGGGTGAAAGTGTTGTGGTCAGATGAGACCAAAATCGAGCTCTTTGGCATCAACTCAACTCGCCGTGTTTGGAGGAGGAGGAATGCTGCCTATGACCCCAAGAACATCATCCCCACCGTCAAACATGGAGGTGGAAACATTATGCTTTGGGGGTGTTTTTCTGCTAAGGGACAGGACAACTTCACCACATCAAAGGGACGATGGACAGGGCCATGTACCGTCAAATCTTGGGTGAGAACCTCCTTCCCTCAGCCAGGACATTGAAAATGGGCCGTGGATGGGTTTTCCAGCATGACAATGACCCAAAACACACGGCCAAGGCAACAAAGGAGTGGCTCAAGAAGAAGCACATTAAGGTCCTGGAGTGGCCTAGCCAGTCTCCAGACCTTAATCCCATAGAAAATCTGTGGAGGGAGCTGAAGGTTCGAGTTGCCAAACGTCAGCCTCAAAACCTTAATGACTTGGAGAAGATCTGCAAAGAGGAGTGGGACAAAATCCCTCCTGAGATGTGTGCAAACCTGGTGGCCAACTACAAGAAACGTCTGACCTCTGATTGCCAACAAGGGTTTTGCCACCAAGTACTAAGTCATGTTTTGCAGAGGGGTCAAATACTTATTTCCCTCATTAAAATACAAATCAATTTATAACATTTTTGACATGCGTTTTTCTGGATTATTTTGTTGTTATTCTGTCTCTCACTGTTAAAATAAACCTACCATTAAAATTATAGACTGATCATGTCTTTGTCAGTGGGCAAACGTACAAAATCAGCAGGGGATCAAATACTTTTTTTCCCTCACTGTATCTACAGTTGAAATTTGGCCATAGAATCAATGACTGAAAAATTTGTATTTTCAACGTCCAGAAAATACATATTTTCAACGTCTGGAAAATACGAATTTTCGATGTCCGGAAATAAAGCATTTTCATATATCATTCAGCGCCTAAAATGCACCTGACGTCAACGTCTGGAAAAGTATTTTCAACGTAATTTAGCTTAATGGGTACGCTACACTACACATCCAGAAGTCGCTCTGATACAGAATAGAGAGGGATAGAAGGAGAGAAAAGAGAGAGAAGGCTGTGTCTGACATTACAGAGCTGCTCCAAAAATAGCTCCCTGGCGCCCTGGCCTCCAGCTTGGTTGTCATGGTGACAGAACCACCGGGCTATAAATAGACTATGAGCTCCCAATCTTCTGTGACTGGAGTGAGGCCAGAGAGAGGGAGAGACAGACAGAAAGAAAAGAGGAGAGAGAGAGAAAGAAATGCAGGGAGAGAAGAGGGGGGGGGGAAGGAAAGGTGGAGAGAGGCCAGCAAAGGGAGGGCTGTGAAGAACAGAATGCTGGAAATAGAGAAGGAAAGGGGCAACACAGGCTCTAAACAGGAGAGCATTCTAGAAATCACAACCGACTGGGATCGCAACAACGTAGCTACGTACGCAGACCAGGAAAGTTGTGAGACGCGCTAACAGTGTTACAGCCATACAGCTGGAACCAACAACTGTTTACCTATTCTCACGCTGGAAATGCAGTCAGCTTGATAAATAGCCTAGGGACGATTTTAGATATGCATTGTGCAGTGTGTGCACCTACACGAAAATACACACACACGACCAGGGCTTTCAGTTTGAAAAGCGCTTTTACACTCTCCTCAAACCCTGTTTCCAGTGAAACCTTTCTCCCTCCCTCCCTCATGTGATGACTCAGTGACTCAGTCCCAGCCATTTTCTGTCCCTGCAAACCGGAGAGGGAGAGAATGGGAGAGAATAGTTTACCAAGAGAACAGTGTATAGAGGAGTAAAGATAGTGTGGCTTTGAGAGAAAGCTACGCCACATTATAGTAGCGTCAAACGCGGAGAGCATTGACAGGTCAGACTGAATGGTCAATAGCTCATCTGATACGTACGACAGCGGCTAGTTGGCTAGGCTACTCCACACAGCTCCATTTCCTCAGCATTTCCACAGAAAGCTCTCCACAGCAGCCTGAGGGGAACAGCTCAACAACCTCTCTGCTTTCGCTGCGGCGTCGCAAATTCACTTCCCAGTGCTGTTCACTGAATTATCTAGTGAGTTTACGTGCAAACCTTATCAGGAAATCTGAGCTACAAATGCAAAATGAGGCCTAGTTTATCAACTTTAGTGTGGAATACAGAATTAGGCCAAAGCGAACAATTGAAAATGCATTTGACAGATTAATTGTCAAATATGACTGCAAAACTCCTAATACATAGTGACATTTGTTATATTGACATTTATTTCAAACCCCCCTTTTTTGTGACATTCATGTAGGACTGAGATTTATGCAGGTTTACCCTGCTCTCAGTAGGTCTAAACCACAGAACAAAACTGGTTGACATTTTATTTTGGGTCTCTGTTTGGTTTCCTATTTATACTACAGTATCGTCTTCATGTTACTGTTGGAACTTTTCAAGGCACTCCCCAAATTGACCCCCAATTCATAACGGGATCCGGTAAAGGTTTTCTCTCAAGAATCTGCAACGTAACGTGTTTTATCACTATTGTTGAGGAATTAAAATGTGGTGCTCAGTTACAGAAAGACACTATGACCCCATTTTGACAACACAAATAAGTAATACTTGTAACAACAGCCATTTCAGAACTTCTAGGCATTATATGTGACGGACATGAGAGGAGGGTGATAATGTATGTGGTATAAAATGAAATGATAAAGATACATGTGGCACGCGATGCAATCATTTACATTTACATTTGACATTTTAGTCATTTAGCAGACGCTCTTATCCAGAGCGACTTACAGTTAGTGAGTGCATACATTATTATTTATACTGGCCCCCCGCGGGAATCGAACCCACAACCCTGGCATTGCAAACACCATGCTCTACCAACTGAGCTACATCCCTGCCGGCCATTCCCTCCCCTACCCTGGACGACGCTGGGCCAATTGTGCGCCGCCCCATGGGTCTCCCGGTCGCGGCCGGCTATGACAGAGCCTGGATTCGAACCAGGATCTCTAGTGGCACAGCTAGCACTGCGATGCAGTGCCTTAGACCACTGCGCCACTCAGGAGCACAATCACATGGGTGTTGTGAAATAAATACTGAGAGGAGTATATGAAGTGGTAGCCTATATTTCAGTGTTTTTGGAGAATCAAAATGTCACCCTGTTGCACTGTAAACTAAGAATAATTAGCTTTCTGGTATTGCTAAAATGATTAAGATACAAAACATCCTTAATTAAAAACAACACAGACAACCACATCAAAACCTAACAATCTGACGATAACAGAAAATAAGGTATTCCATGAGCCTGCCTCCATCTGACTGAGGCTGCATTGCCATTTCAATCTCCTCAGCCGAGTCCTTATCACAGCCACAGAGAGGGGGGGACACTACAGAGGGAGGGCCTTGACATTATAATAATAATAATAATAATAATAATATGCCATTTAGCAGACGCTTTTATCCAAAGCGACTTACAGTCATGCGTGCATACATTTTTGTGTATGGGTGGTCCCGGGGATCGAACCCACTACCTTGGCGTTACAAGCGCCGTGCTCTACCAGCTGAGCTACAGAGGACCACACATTCCCTCACCAACTCAGACAGAGATTTTCATTTCACGCCGACACCTTCATCAATGATGCTAAAGTTGTCTCTCTTTCCCCAACACACACACACACACACACATTCTTTCTCCTTCTGCAGCTAGCCTGAGTTAAAAATAGCTCTCTCTTTCTCGGCTTCTCCGTTTACATAAGCATACAGTGGGGGAAGGGGAGCACTTCCGGTCTGGCCAACCAGCCCAGCATCTAATCCACAACACAGGCTGGGCTGCTGGGCTTCTGGGTATGGGAGACAGGAGGAGAGGGCTGACATACCTACCCCGCAATGCAGGAAAGACCCCTCTCTGTACGTCTCCATTTAGCCTGCACGTAACTGTCTGTCTGCCTGCATGTCTGTCTGCTTGCCTGCCTGCCTGTCTTTGACGGTCCAGGAGCAGGTCCCATCCCAGTGCTCAGAATAACAAACCACAATTAGGGCTGGGTGATATGACCTAAAAATCAGATCTCGATTTTATCCAACTTATGGGCGATTCCCGATATATATTTCGATTTTGTTTTACGTTTCTCTAAATAAGCTTTGTTGAACAATTAAAGGTCAATACACCGCATTTCAAACAGTCGGGGATAATCTAATGAATTCAGGACTTGAAAAATTATACCTAGGCTAAATATAAGCCTTCAACCATAAGAACCACTAATCATTTAATTATTTTATAAAAAATAGTTTAACCTGCGTTTTTGCAATAATCACTGATCTGGCTTTCAAGACTGTCTATGAAAATAAAAATGTTGTTACAAAAGTAACCAAAACCGTGCACAATGCAGATCCACTAATAATGACCAACTTCTGGTAGCAGGCATTGTAGAAAATTAACACAGGCTCATAAACAATCTCTCAAGCACAAGTCCACTGCTAGTGTGTAGCCAGCTTACCTTTATATTTAAAGTCTAGCCAACTTGGAGCTAATTGCATGCTAACAAGGTAGAACAGTTGAACTGTTATGGATACACCCTCTCGTCTATCTCCAACTGTCTAGCCTGTTCACTTTGTTTAGATGTTGAAATCAAGTGGCCTACCTGGATAAGAAGATGCTTATTTCTCAGAATGAGAAACTCAGAATGAGTTGCCAATTCCTTATACAAATACATATTTTTATGCTCATTGCACATTTATAAAACACAGACTAGACAGCTAGCACATAACAGTATGTGGCTAAAATGCTAGTACCTGGTTTATTTTCCACAATAATGTTCCTTGATACTCCTGTCTTACTAGGGTCTGCACTGTTCTACATTTTGGGAGTTGAGACATAAAAAGGGTATCGTTACAAAGGTTAAGTTCTCCTCCATTACAATAAAATAATGTTTCAATGTGTTTCGTGTCGATATGACCGATTTATGTTGGACCAAACCTCAAATGCAAATAGCGAGTTGAAACCGCTTGCTGTCAGAGAGGAAGAAGTGATATTTCGTCTCTTTGTTGTTGTGAGTGGCAGGGGGGAGGGGCTTGGTGTCTGTGTGCGAGTGGGAAGTTGCACAAGTGCACACAGCACAGAAGGAGCGAAGGAGGCGAGACCAAAAAGTCAAACACTAATAAAAATGGGGAAAAAGTCAAACCTTGATTCTTGCGATACAGGCATTTGGAACATTGTGCTAAAACATACGTTCAAATTAATCAAATGAATTCAATATATTACCCAGCCCTAACCAGAACCACATTTCATACAAGGGAGAGTTTTCATGATCATCTTGCTGCAAAGCTCCAAGAGCATCTGCCTTCCAATAACTCTGGGTTCATGTGACCATTGCATGACTTATAACAGAGACAGGCCTGACAGAGATCAAAGGACGGATAAGAAAGAATTCCAGAAAAGAGAAGCTAGGAGCCGAGGAGGAGGGAAAGGGAAGCTCTACTGTAAAAACCTCTCCCAACACAGCCACAATGAACCTATACTGTAAGTGCACAAATCACCAGCTACACAAATAAATACCTACGCTACTGCAAGACAATCTCAACAACAGCCATACTGTACATTCGGGTTGCCATTGTCAGCTGGACAAATATAATACGTTTGCAACAGAAGAGTTAAATGAAAAGAAAATGCATAGTAAACCTGTACTTAAGTTAGAGAGTCTTGAATTGATGATATGAATTCAGAGTAAGCATAAAAAAATGTGTTACACAGCATGTCAGACAGAGGGAAAATGACTGGGTACTTACTACTGTGCACAGTCGATCAGCTGGTACTCATTGGATCTCTCGAAGCAGGCCTTCACCCCCTCGTCTTGCCATAGGGTCTTTGCATGCTCATAGAACTCCTGCAGAACGACACAACACAGAGAGCTGGATCAGGACAGTCCATGGGTAGAGAAGTGAACCGGTTGCCAACTTGGACCCAACTCAGATTAGAGAAGTCCTTCAACATTGCTTACATTTCAGGTATTCATTTCATTTAGGCAATAGAAAAATGGATGCCTAGGCCCTAGCCCCTCGGCACTCCTGTAGATCTGAAATAATGAATAATTGAGGAATATGGTGAACATTTCCCCAAGCCTATCAGAAGGCAAGATTAATCAATGATTGCTTAAATCTATCCTATCTAACTTCTCCAGGCTTTTGCTCTAGTCCTATTATAGCACACCTCACCAGTTAATCCTGAGGAGGAGCTAATTAGTATAATCATATGTGTTAAAGTTAGACAAACAAAATCCTACAGGAGCTGCCCAGGAGGGTTGGCCATCCCTGGGCTAGCATGGAGGCTAGGAGTCGATTTGGAATTCAACATTAATTCAACCAATCAGAACGCTTTTTTTTGTCTGTAAAATAACATATTTGGGGCGGGCATTGCATCTGTATTCCTTTTAGTGGTCTCATTGAACCTACAGCTGTACCCATTCCTTCGGAAGACGCTGCCATGTTGACATTGGTGAGTGGAGGACAGAGTGGGCGCAGGACACGAGATACAGAGGGAACCAAACATTCTTCAAATCAAGAAGCCTACACATGAACAATGAGGGACAGCAACACGATAACAGAACAGAACTTTCCCTTTCCAACTGACAAGGACTCTCTAAGAATTCCCAACTAGGCTTCTGGACAATAGTAAGACAGAGGCCTACATGACAATTGATATAACTACCAAAATGCAAACCAAACAAAACAGAAATGTTATTATCTGTCAGTCTCACTCTGAACACACCGCAATCCTGACATCAAGGAGCAGTTGAATGCTAGTGATTCAGTAGCAGGGCCAGGTGTTTCACCTAACCACGTTGCCTAACCAGGTAGGAAAAAAACTCCTGTCCCTATTCACGAGGTATCCCATCAGCGTACATAGCTGAGGACAGACAGACAGACAGACAGCGAGACGCCTCTCCTGGTTCAAACTAGTGTTATATTTAGAGAAGGACAGAAGAGGAGAGGAGACAGATGAGGAAAATGAACATAGAGGTTCAGCAAGTTCATTGAGACATGGACACAATTTTACTGAGACACAAGGCCGTTACATAGAATAAGCCAAACTCTTTCAGGGTTGTGGGCTGTACAATGGTAAGGCAAACACTGGGATACAGTATATTCAGGACATCAGCTAAGCTCAGCAGCCCTCTCCTTCTCTTCTCTACAGGGTTTCCTCTCCCCGTCAGTCTCCCTGTTCCCTGTTAGAAGCCCAAGCAAAGCGGAGCAGCAGGCAGTCAACCAGTCAGACTGGTTCCTGGTAGGCCCTAGCCTAGGGCCAGGAGATGGGGGGGGGGGGGGGGGAGAGGGAGGAGGAGGCAGAAGCCTATCAGATAGTTTTCTCTGCCCAAACACACACAAACCCACATTCATGTAATCAGTTAGATGCTTCAGAGAAGTAGTCAGTAGCCACAGACATTCCAATCCACCATATATTTAGTGTTGATTGACATAGATTCCTTTGGCACAGCAACAGACCATATGAAAGATCCTCAAATCTATAGAACGCATCAGGGCAAACCTAATGTTGCAACGAGGGCTGTGACGGTCATGGAATTTTGGATGACGGTAATTGGCCAACCGAATGACCGCGTTCTCTGTAATTATAGAAGTCAATGATGGCATTCAAGTCAATGATGGTATAATGGGTGGACTGGTGGCCATTGCGAATGTAGGCTACCCATAGGAGCAAAGCAGCAAGTAAAAGCAGCAAGTAAAAGCAGGAAGTGCACCCATCAATATGTGCTGTGATTTCTTGTTTCAACTCAACTGACATTACAAACAATACATTCCATTGCATGAGCCACATCAGTTAACATCATTTGAATGAACATTCTACATTACCGTGGAAATTATTGCATCACAATCCAAGGCAGCCATTGCGAGTGTACCCATAGATGCGGTAAAGGAGTCAATGGAACGCAGACGTTCCATTGACCAGATCGGCGCACATTCAACAAATCTGATCTAACAAAGTGGATATTCGTCAAATCCGTCATGATTTATGTATTGTAACAGGCCCACAATAAGCTTACTTAAGTCCGATTTTGATATATTTGGCTGTTTTCACTGCATAACATGTAGAAGTTGTCCATTTTCAGGTTTAGAAGAAGTGACTGCTAAATGCTAACTCCCATTCATATAAGCTGGTTAGCATAGCTAGCATTCAGAAATAGTTGATGATAGTCAAAGTTGTTTTTGAACTGTAATGCAGTTGATTGGTAACAACGACATGAACATGTGTTTGTGTTGGGGTTGAAATCCATACAAGCATTATACTCATACACATATAAACACAGCTTAAATGTAGACACATTTTTGCTGGGGGGCAATGAGGAGACTCGGGATCTTTCCCCCAAACGTTTCCACGGCAATTCCATTGTTTTGGTCGAGTTCGATTGACCTTTACCGCTTCTATGAGTTTACCAGTCAAATTGCCAGGGTTAGAGGTTCTAAGCCCATTCTATTCATCGTTTGCTCTAACACCTTTCTTACTCAACCACACGAATGCCCGGCCGTCCCGTCTTTAGTCAGCGGTTCTTTCCCCCAAAAATAATATATATATATCGTCGAGGAATGGACTCTACAAAGTGTCGAAAGTGTTCCACAGGGATGCTGGCCCATGTTGACTCCAATGCTTCCCACAGTTGTGTTAAGTTGGCTGGATGTCCTTTGGGTGGTGGACCATTCTTGATACACAAGGGAAACTGTTGAGCGTGAAAAACACAGCAGCGTTACAGTTCTTAACACACTCAAACCGATGCGCCTGGCACCTATTACCATACCCCGTTCAATGGCACTTACATTTTTTGTCTTGCCCATTCACCCTCTGAATGGCACACATACACAATCCATGTCTCAAGGCTTAAAAATCCTTATTTAATCTGTCTCCTCCCCTTCATCTATACTGATTGAATTGGATTTAACAAGTGACATCAATAAGGGATCATAACTTTCACCTGGTCAGTCTATGTCATGGAAAGAGCAGGTGTTCCTAATGTTTTGTACACTCAGTACAATATATATATATATTTAGACGGTTATTTTACTTCTTCCATAACCATCGGTTACACAGTTACATGGAGAGGCCTTTAATTTTCATCATAGGTACACGTCAACTATGACAGACAAAATGAGAAAAACAATTCCAGAAAATCACATTGTAGGATTTTTTATGATTTTATTTGCAAATTATGGTGGAAAATAAGTATTTGGTCAATAACAAAAGTTTCTCAATACTTTGTTATATACCCTTTGTTGGCAATGACACAGGTCAAACGTTTTCTGTAAGTCTTCACAAGGTTTTCACACACTATTTTGGCCCATTCCTCCATGCAGATCTCCTCTAGAGCAGTGATGTTTTGGGGCTGTCGCTGGGCAACACGGACTTTCAACTCCCTCAAAGATTTTCTATGGGGTTGAGATCTGGAGACTGGCTAGGCCACTCCAGGACCTTGAAATGCTTCTTACGAAGCCACTCCTTCGTTGCCCGGGCAGTGTGTTTGGGATCATTGTCATGCTGAAAGACCCAGCCACGTTTCATCTTCAATGCCCTTGCTGATGGAAGGAGGTTTTCACTCAAAATCTCACGATACATGGCCCCAATCATTCTTTCCTTTACACGGATCAGTCGTCCTGGTCCCTTTGCAGAAAAACAGCCCCAAAGCATGATGTTTACACCCCCATGCTTCACAGTAGGTATGGTGTTCTTTGGATGCAACTCAGCATTCTTTGTCCTCCAAACACGACGAGTTGAGTTTTTACCAAAAAGTTCTATTTTGGTTTCATCTGACCATATGACATTCTCCCAATCCTCTTCTGGATCATCCAAATGCACTCTAGCAAACTTCAGACGGGCCTGGACATGTACTGGCTTAAGCAGGGGGACACGTCTGGAACTGCAGGATTTGAGTCCCTGGCGGCGTAGTGTGTTACTGATGGTAGGCTTTGTTACTTTGGTCCCAGCTCTCTGCAGGTCATTCACTAGGTCCCCCTGTGTGGTTCTGGGATTTTTGCTCACCGTTCTTGTGATCATTTTGACCCCACGGGGTGAGATCTTGCGTGGAGCCCCAGATCGAGGGAGATTATCAGTGGACTTGTATGTCTTCCATTTCCTAATAATTGCTCCCACAGTTTATTTCTTCAAACCAAGCTGCTCACCTATTGCAGATTCAGTCTTCCCAGCCTGGTGCAGGTCTACAATTTTGTTTCTGGTGTCCTTTGACAGCTCTTTGGTCTTGGCCATAGTGGAGTTTGGAGTGTGACTGTTTGAGGTTGTGGACAGGTGTCTTTTATACTGATAACAAGTTCAAACAGGTGCTATTAATACAGGTAACGAGTGGAGGACAGAGGAGCCTCTTAAAGAAGAAGTTACAGGTCTGTGAGAGCCAGAAATCTTGCTTGTTTGTAGGTGACCAAATACTTATTTTCCACCATAATCTGCAAATAAATTCATTAAAAATCCTACAGTGTGATTTTCTGGATTTTTTTTTCTTAATTTGTCTGTCATAGTTGATGTGTACCTATGATGAAAATTACAGGCCTCTCTCATCTTTTTAAGTGGGAGAACTTGCACAATTGGTGGCTGACTAAATACTTTTTTTCCCCACTGTACATGGTAGTTGTTTCAGCCCTAGTTACAACTTCTGATTCAGAATCAGAACAAGTTATTAACATACTGCACATGGTGTCTTGGTCTTCTACATATTGGTCATAAATCACTTTAGAAATTACATTTAACCTGGATTGGAATTTTAGGCTTACTTGCAGTGAACACCTTTACAGGCCTTGCCTGCCTGGGTGTCTGCCTGCCTGCTTGCTTACCCTGCCTGCCGGTCTGCCTGCCGGTCTGCCTGCCTGTCTGCCCTGGGAACATACAGTTTGGAGGGTGTTTCAGAGGTGAACTCCCATCAGACCCATTTAGGGTTATTAAACACAATCAGTGTTAACAGGCACAGGCTGTGCAACTCTCAGGTGAGAGCCTCATTCAATTGTGAGCATCCCAAGGGGAGTACACCTGCTAATTACTGAACCACAAAACAGACAGACAAACAGACAGACAGACACCATACTGTAGTAGCTACCGTGACTGATGTGATGTTTGACTCGGAACTTATTGGCCCAAGTTTAAAGTTGTATTAATCGTACAGGATACACATGGTATACATCGTCCAACGAAATGCTTACTTGCAGGTTCCTTCTTGACAATGCAACAACAATAAGAAATAATAAAAGATAAGAATACGAACATGAAGTAAATGGCTCAGTAGAATAGAATAAACATTTGAGCATAAGTATAATACAGGAAGGAACAATTTATAGTCCAATATTTCCACGTATTTACCCATTCCTCCATTCACTGACTGGCCTATTCCATCCTGCCTCGTCTTAAGAGTTCTTCCTTTGAAATTCAAAAACGTAGACCTATATCACATTAGCAGCCAGTTTGACTAATGTTCATAGTTTCAACAGTTGAAAACCTTGAGATGGAGATTATCTTTTGGGACACAAACTCTGAATGAGACAGCAGTATCCAATTAGTTCGAACCAGACTGTTTTAGCCCACTGAGCCAAGGCAAAATTACTCATCAAGTGAGTGTGGTTCATTGGACCACCTCTTTTACTGCAGTCTCCAGAGGGTGACTTCCTGATGTGCAACGTCAGAGAAAAACCCTGAAACATGCCAACATGACAGAGATAGCGTGTGATTGTTAATTAGATAGAAAAATACTTACCGACGTAAATTCGAAATCCTTCTGATTTACTAGGTTCAGGATGTATTCGATTCGGAACTGGTGTGCTGGGTTGGCTAACTTGACTGGGGGTGTGAGTGTACTCATGGCTGTCACTATAGTCTGGAATTAAGGAAAAATGGAAAGACATTGCTTTAAAAAAACGACTCAGAAAAATACGGATATTTTTTTTCTAAATCGATACATAAAACATTTGAAGGATTTCCTCTATTGGGCTACTAGTAGTGACTACTCATATAAACAATGAAAACAAGAGGGAGAAATGAGCAGAAAACAGTACCAATTACTTACCTCTATAGCTTCCTTTATATTGTTCTTTATGTCTTGAATTTTCTGTTTTTTCTCCCTGTGAAGCATGAAAATGAGAAAGTCAGCGACCAAATGTAATCAAAATCAACATAAAGGTATAGTAACACACTGAAAAGTAGAATGGCAGATTGGCAGTCTTTACTCATTGCTGAAGTCTGAAAATCCTAAAAAAAAGGACCCGACCACAGAGATTTCATATCCATCAAAGATTGAGCCAATGGTTTTTCTATGGGGCTGATGCGTTGATGGACGACGGAGAGACAATGTCATTTGGATAGATAGACAGATACATAGTGCATTCTTCGTGCATTTCATCAGTCTCTGTGTAGCTGGGTTGTAAGAATTGAGGCGTTTCCGTGACTGAGTAAGAGCAGTGCACTGTGTGACAGAGGAGACTCCACCACATTCCTCACACGAAGACCCCGAAAACACCCGCAAAAAAAACAACTGCCATACCAATCTCTTCTCACCTCTGCCATACCACTCTTCTCCTCTATCTACTCCTCCCTTCTTATCCCCTCTCCCTATTATTCTGTCACTCCCCACCTCTATCTGTCCTCCTCATCCTACTCTCCAGCACCTGGTACTGACTGGCACTCCCTTTCCCCAAATTAGTAGGTAGGTACAACATTCTAGTCTGAAGGGCAGGCTGAGGCAACAACCCTGAACTGAAGCAAGTATGATAGAGATCACCGCTCTCCATGTATTTATCAATAGGTTACACCAGGGTGCATAGCTGTGGAACACTAAACACGCAACATCTGTCCTGAATTGACCATCAAGACAATCTGTATAAGGTCCCTGCTACGGACTGACTGACTGATGTGTGTGTGTCTGCAAGTGTGTCGGTGCGTAATGTTTACCTACTACAGTATATGTTTTGAAATTGTGCTTTGTATTAGGTGATCTGTATTATATGATGTGCATGTAATGTGTGAGCAGTGGTACGTGTATGTCCAAGACAAATTTCTCCTTTGGACAATGAAGTTGATCTGATCTTATAATAATAATAATAATATGCCATTTAGCAGACGCTTTTATCCAAAGCGACTTACAGTCATGCGTGCATACATTTTTTTGTGTATGGGTGGTCCCGGGGTTTGAACCCACTACCTTGGCGTCACAAGCGCCGTGCTCTACCAGCTGAGCTACAGAGGACCACATTATTTAGCCATATGTGGAAGCCAATAGGGCTGGGAATTGCCAGGGACCTCACAATACGATATTATCAAGATTCTTAGGTGCCGATATAATATGTATCGCTATTCTCACGATTCTATATGTGTTGCGATTATATACTGTGATTGTATTGCGATTCGATGTTCCAAACATATCGCTCACCATCTGCCTGCTGCAGAGGGACAAGAGAGAGTCATGAGAACAAGTTTTCATCAGTCGTGGAAATAAAAGTGCAGTAAAAAAAATTGCCTACCTATTTAAAAAGAAGATGGAGAACAAGCTATGAAGGAAAAATACTGGAGTTTTGGTGCATGTACAGCCAACTAGCGCAAAAATAATATTTGCGATAGTCAAAACAATACGATATGACATATTGTCAAAAATAATATCCCGATATGTTACTTTATCCATTGTTTCCATCATCAGTAGAAGCCAAGGCCTTTTGACTTGTATGTGTTTCCTCTGGAGCAAAATTGTAGCAGTAGGGGAAAATGTAGAAGGACTGAGAAGCTCACTTCTGGTGACTTTTTAAAAGGACATTCTACTCCAAAATTAATTAAAATAAAATTATGCTGACACCATCTAAAATATAATTTCCACCTCCAGAAATTAGCCCAATAACATATTGGTAAAATGATTTGTTTAAATTATTTTAACATATTGGACCATGCATATAGCCTATGCATGGTCCATATTAGCAGGTATGCTATTAGCAATAAGCCTTATCAACTGTAGCCCAACTAGTGTTGGGCGATATTACGATATTATCGGATATCGAAGATGATTGACAGCCATCGTCGATGGTGACGACATTGTGATGTGACAGACGATGTACAGCCTACAGTTCCTTCAGAAAGTATTCATACCCCTTGACTTATTCCACATTTTGCTGTGTTACAGCCTGAATTCAAAATGGATTCAATCGATACACCAATACCCCTTAATGAAAAAGTGAAAACGTTTCAGAAATGTTTGCATATTTATTGAAAATGACATACATAAATATTATTTACATAAGTATTCACACCCTTGAGTCAATACATGTTAGAATCACCTTTGGAAGCAATTACTGCCATGAGTCTTTCTGGGTAGGTCTCTAAGAGCTTTGTACACCTGGATTGAACAATATTTGCATATTATTCTTTTTAAAATTCTTCAAGCTCTGTCAAGTTGGTTGTTGATCATTGCTACACAGCCATTTTCAAGTCTTGCCATAGATTTTCAAGCTGGTTTAAGTCAAAATTGTAACTAGGCCACTCAGGAACATTCAATGTCATCTTGGTAAGCAACTCCAGTGTATATTTGGCCTTGTGTTTTAGGTTATTTTCCTGCTGAAAGGTGAACTTGTCTCCCAGTGTCTGTTGCACACTAGTTTTCCTCTAGGATTTTGCCTATGCTTAGCTATATTCTGTTTATTTTTATCCTAAAAAACTCCCTAGTCCTTGGCGATGACAAGCATATCCATAACGTGATGCAGCAACCACCATGCTTGAAAATATGAAGACTGGTACTCAGTGATGTATTGTGTTGGATTTGCCCCAAACATAAAGTTAATTTCTTTGCCATATTTTTTGCAGTATTACTTAAGTGCCATGTTGCAATAAGGTTGCATGTTTTGGAATATTTGTATTCTGTACAGGCTTCCTTCTTTTCACTATCATTTAGGTTAGTATTGAGGAGTAATTACAACGTTGAGCCATCCTCAGTTTTCTCCTATCACTGCCATTAAACTCTGTAACTGTTTTAAAGTCACCATTGGCCTCATGGTGAAATCCCTGAGCGGTTTCCTTCCTCTCCGGCAACTGAGTTAGGAAGGCCACCTGTATCTTTGTAGTGACTAAGTGTATTGATACACCATCCAAAGTGTAATTCATATCTTCACCATGCTCAAAGGGATATTTTGTACTTTTATTTTATCTACCAATAGGTGCCCTTCTTTGGGAGGCATTGGAAAACCTCCCTGGTCTTTGTGGTTGAATCTGTGTTTGAAATTCACTGCTCGACTGAGGGACCTTACAGATAATTGTATGTGTGTTGTACAGAGATTAGGTAGTCATTCAAAAATCATGTTAAACACTATTATTGCACACAGAGTGAGTCTATGCAACTTATGTGACTTGTTAAGCACATTCTTACTCCTGCACTTATTTAGCCCTGCCATAACAAAGGGGTTGAATACTTATTGACCCAAGACATTTCAGCTTTACATTTTTTATTAATTTGCTAAAATGTCTAAAAACATAATTCCACTTTGACATTATGGGGTATTGTGTGTAGGCCAGTAATACAAAATCGCAATTTAATCCATTTTAAATTCAGGCTGTAACACAACAAAATGTGGAAAAAGTAAAGGGGTGTGAATACTTTCTGAAGGCACTGGTTTTCAACTTGTCTGGCACCACGCAGTAAAGCGCTGACCAGGCAGCCCACAGCAGGGCCTATTCCTTTGCTATAGCCTGCATAACCTATTTCAATAAATATGTTATAAACAATATACAGAATGCAAGAGAACAATGTAGACAAAGCTAAGATTTTCACCAAAGCGGCGCAAAATGTCCAGTCAGAAAATATATTAGTTTTTTCTCTCAGTGCCGGATGGTCTGGGCCATATAGCTGAAGCCTATTAAATTTTTTATAGCGGACACTCCGGTGTGTCATTATTTTAAAAGACTCTCTCCATTTGATAAGAATATGACTTAAGTTTTTATGCATGCTGGCTTTCTCCTGCGGCCTCTCGCAGCGCTACTTCATGATCAAACAATGAATTTCTCAGAAAGTTACGTTGTTTTTGAATAACCTAAAAACATGATAGGCCCAAGGTAATAATCCGAGAGGTAGAACAAAGAATAGCAAGATAGAAAAATCTAACGAGTAGTTTGAACAAGCCTTACAGTTGAGCAAAGCTTACGTCTATTATAAAATAAATGATGCATGCATCCCTCCTCCTTGCCGTTAAGAACCAAACGGACAAAAGCAAAATCCTACTCATTAAAATAGCCTATCAAAAGCATTAAGACAATTTAAAATTAGGAATAGTATTTTCCAAATAGGATATTCTAATAAAGTGTGTAATGTCCTGAAGTTGGAGCTTTCAAATGGGAACAATTTTGAAAGTCAGAGTCTATAGTCGAGCCTCTATCACAGTTTTATTTTGAATGACAAATATTACATGCAAAAAGAAGTGAATTTGAGCAAACAATATCAAGATGGAAAAATCTAATGAGAATTCAAAATTAAAAAACTTACAGCTGAGCAAAACTTATGAAAGAAATGATGTGTAGAGTAGGCCTATGTCCATAGCCTATTATTATCAATGTATAGAAACTCCCTACAACGTATAGAAGCCTAGGCCTAATAAGAATAATTGAATAATTATCCAGTTCTGGGGACAGCAGAGTTGCATGCTCTGCAGCCGGGCCCTGAATGATTTACAACCCATCACACGATGCACAGTCAGCGAGGCTGTCTTGCGCGTAGGCACACACAGACATACATGTCTTTCGTGACACATCTCCAATAGGCTACTAAAAAAGATTTGGCTCCAAAATATAATGATTCCTCTCGTACTTCCCATAACATGCGAGCTCATGCTAGTGGTCCTTTTTAGCTGTCTTTATTATTATTATTATTGTTTTTTTTTTTTTTTTTTTTGGGGGGGGGCAATTGGAGGCGATACCATTGTATATCACGATGTTTTATGGGTACTTCATCACGATAGGACAAAGGTTGACATCGCCCAACCCTAAGCCCAACTGATAGCGGCATAGTGGCTATAAATAAATAGGCTGGAGCATTGGGTTGCTTATCTGCATTTACCTTATTGAGCTAATCATTAGCTAGATACCAAATGTGATCTTTTAACTAGTTAGCATCATATTGATTAATTTTATGTCCCAAAAAACTTGCATAAACACAGTGAATATAATGTAGGCCTACCTGTTAGGGTAATTTGGGGTAAAACACCACCCAGGGTTACACGTCCCTGCCTGTACTTCTCACAGAAACCGCTTCATTTCCCCCCCCAACACTTTTCCTGGTTGCCACTACTCTTGCTCAACTAAGAATTGGTGACATGTCATTCCAAAAGTGTTAGGGAAAGTCACTCCCCAAAAATTATTTTGAGGTATGGTGGCGTTTTACCCCAAGTTACCCTACAATTGACCCAGTTACATTCAGCCCCACTCTCCCCTATGCACTCACTGCAAATTGCAGAGTGGTAATGTGCTTAACCATGCTGTGCTAAAAACTGAGGACTTCAAATGGTGCAGTTCTCGCATATTTAGGAGTTGAGAAATAAATAAAGTAGGAATGGAAAGCTGGGATCCCCCTCTTTTTAACAAAGGTCATTAAAACTGCTGTCATTTCGCAATTGCATTATGAATTGTTGTGCATATACTTCTTGTCAGAATGCATGTTTCCCTCCCTATGGCACTCACAACTTGAATGCGCCTTGAGAGGAATATTTCTCTCCCATAGATGAACTATTCTACTAAGGTCTGGTTTATCTATTCATTACTCGTTTTGTTTGCAGCGGAAAAGTAAATCTGGACTGTTAATCTTCAAAGTGCGTCTAGGCAGAAATATTTTTTGGAGTGTCGGCAATGATGTTGCTGTGTCCCAGCGCCACAGATAAATGACTGCAGCGGAAACACTGCTGATCATTGTAGTTCTGGAATGATCCGAATAATTGTGTACATGAGCAGTCAGAATCCACAGAAATGAAGCCTGCATGAACTCATATTGTTGGGGAAAACAAACGCTTGAGGCAAATTACAGTTTTTCTTAAAAAGGTTCTACAGTATTGATGTTGGCGTACTATATCACATACTATAGAAACTATGAAAAGAAGCTGGTGAAACCAAAAACCTCAGAATTTTCTCTCGATGAGCAGTGCTAGAAAAAGATTCAATAGCATGAACAGAGTAGGAGTAGGCTATGCATGTGATTTCAAACTATTCAAAAACAACTTCAAGGACCTGTTGTATTTTTGGAGCTTACCAACCACTTGTTGTTTAAAAACTCTTGAAAAAATAGGCAATTCTTAGAGCAATAAACTTTGTAAATATGATCAATTAACTCAAGCAGAGTTTCACCTATAGGAATAACTAACACCTAGTCTCTCTGGTGACAAACATTCATTACATTTAACATTTTAGTCATTTAGCGGACGCTCTTATCCAGAGTGACTTACAGTTAGTGAGTGCATACATTTTCATACTGGCCCCCCTGGCCTCTCTGGGGTGGGACGCAGTTGTGGGTTTGGGTTATCTTTGTATGCATTATTTGATCGCTTTTGTACCTGTAAACCCCCCTCTGAAAAAAAAGGACAAAACTAAATAAAAAGTTGGTCACAAAAGAAAAACGCATTTGTGCCCTGGAGCGACTAATCAGCCTGAGAATCCTAGGACATTGGTTCCCCGTTTAGAGTTCAAATCTGTGTAATATAAATGGAGTAAGACCCATATGGCCTTCAAGTGGCTCCTACAAAATAATATGTGCTTGACACGGTTCTGCAAAGATTTATGAAATTGGGAAAAATAATACTTACTCTGCATTGAAGCCATTCACATGCAGTATTCGCATCTGTTTGACTATCGTGCTCTTCCCAGATTCACCAGCACCTGTAAACAGAGAAAAGAGGAAGATATATGTTTTAAAACACCTCACTTGACAGTGGTCTCTTTAGGGCAATATCAATTCCATTGAGGTAAACACGGTGAACATGGTTTTGTTGAGTTCATGTATCCAAAAGTTCATTCTTGCAGTGCATGAATAATGTTGTTTTTGGCCCTACCAGAGTTAATAGAGACCCTAGTCATTGTCACTTCAGACAGGAATCAATGTTTGGAGGAATCAAAGTTTGCATTGTCATTAGGCCTAATACTGTAAGGTCAACATGTAGAACATGATTCCATTTTTTTTGTATGCCAATGATGAGGAGGACCCTACCAAATCAACCCAATTAAAGAAAAACTGGAAGTTTAGGTAATATTTTGGTATTACATGATTGATCAAGTTTTCTAGAATCATAAGTCAAGAAGACACTAATCATCTGTCTGTGTGAAAGAAAACAGCATTGTAGCTGTTACTTCCAGACATTATAACCCACACAATACAGTTATGCTGTACTTGTGTAATAGGAACAACTCCATTACTATACAATTATAAAGCAATTACTATGTAACAACATGATAATACAATGTGTTACTTGAGTAATTACAGTGTTATTACATAGCAAGGAGCAACTTGATGCAATGCGTCACCCTAGGCCTACTGTCAACTAAGTCAGTACTGGTATTCGCAACAATTATGATTGAAAGCACTTCAAGGAGAACGCAGTGTATGATGATGAAAACTGCACAATCTTGAGGCCTATTATTTGTAGGTAAATCTCTTTGTAAATCAGGCCTATAGACACATATTGCTAGGCCTACACCACAATCAATAATTCCCCTAGTCGGGTGGAATCATATGCAACATTTTTGCTCTGGAAAAATAAACAATGTTTCAAATAAGGGTGTTGGTGGCTTTCATGTCGAGCTGTGCAGCGTGCTTCAAATGACAGGACACAAGTGTTGCCAGTGTAGGCCTGTGACAAGAACAAACTCCTATCAAAAATGACAGCACAAACAAACGTAAAACCCATTCCATTAAAACAAATTGAATGGTCTTTGTGCAATGGCCTACCTAGGAGGAACCTAGGCCTACATAAAAAAAAAACGGTCATTTACAATGTCAGACCCTTGCCACTCTCAAATGCCACAATAACTATGGCTGGGATACCCACATTAAGCATGGCATGAAACAATTTACCAATAACTTTAACATGTCAGAAACCTACCTAATAGTAGTAGCCGGTGAGTAGCTCGGTATATCTGTTTGTCTTTTTGAAGCTGTTTCTCTATCTTTTTGTTTGCTTCCCTCTGTGCCTTCTCCTCATTACGTTGGTCTTCAGTCTTACTATTGCCCAGACAACCCATCTTCCCAAAAACCCAATTAAAGGGTCGGGGGTGGGGGGATTAATATAATACAACAATTCTAGATTCCTAAATTGGCCCAAGAGAAAAGCACCTTGATGAAGATGGGTGACATTTATATTGTACTGCCAGTTGCAGAATAAAACCACTGTAACCTGTAGATGATCAAGGCCTCCACAGACCGTAGCCTATATCACATATTACTGTTAATTATCTATAGGCTACAATAGATCATTCAGGGAGAACAGAGTGGTGTTGCTAATGACGATACCCGGACCGCCCTCTTAGACGGTTGATTCTTATAAGCTTTTCACTGTAAATCCACAATGAAGTCATCAAGATTAATTTCAACGTGAATATGATTCTTCAGCGCTACAATATACATGAACGGTCTCTCGAGTCGGGATTCCCACGACGTCTTGCAGTGGAGCTGAAATCCACACTGAATTCTAGCAAATGTCTCCTCTTGAACCCATCATCGGTTTCACTGGTAGAATTCTGACTACTGCCATTGAAAACATTTGCTGTTCCATCAAAGCGTATTCCCCTTTTCTTTTGCAATTTGCCCTCAACCTCAGCGAGACGGGCCGAGCAGATAGGAGGATAATTTATTTTGCAAAATTAATATTTCCACTAAAATGACGGCATGTGGATCATTACGCCATGCTTCCTTCTTCATCCGAATGTCTTTTAAATCCAGGACAAAACGTAACCGTGTCAACTATATCATGTTTTAGTCAATGATATTAATTTATTTCCCCTCCTCGTCACAGATGTTGGTTGCTTTTGGGGTTTGTCCAGATCAAAAAGGCCTTTCTCTCGGTCTTTTTCTTTGCCGCTGTAAATTGTATTTCTCCTTACATCGGTAAGCTTTTCTGGGCAAACAAGGACTCCAGTAGGTTTTCTTGTATGCAGTAAATACAATTTCCCCGATTCAGGTATATTTATGAAAATCCTCCGTTATGTTCCCGTTTCTCGCGGGTAGAGCCTGCTGTCAGTCTAAGCTTTGTATCCCTTTTGAATTCGTATGGTAGATAGGCTGGCTACATGTGCATATATATGAACATACTGCGATATATAGCCTAATAATTTATCGAACGATGACAGTTATTTTGAATGTAAAGGCCAGATCTGCTCTTGAATAAATGTGAATAGATTCGTTTCTTTTAAGTATTTTGTAGTATTTTTTTCATTTTCTCTGAGAATTGTACATTGAGATAGATAGCGTTGGCGAGATTGGGTGGGGCAAACAGCTCTCACTGAACCCTGGGAACGACAAGAGTGTAATCACATGATTGCCCAAAACGTCATGAAGTTGCGATTCCGAAGAGAAAAAGGCGCCCTCTCTGAAGAAATTATCATCCATACCCTGGTTTTAATGTCTATGGACCATACAGGGCAAGTAGGCTACTGTAGAACAACAGATACATTGCAATCATTATAAAATGGATACAATGTATACGTGCTGGAACTTTCTAATCACTCTTGACTTCTTTATTCCCTCTCTAAACCTCTGAATATTTTGGTGGCTTTGGAATTATGATAGATCCATCATAAAAATAATTAGAAAATACAAAAGGATTTGTAAAGAGGTAGTTTAACTATTAATTTAAAGATAATTTATACATCTGTAATAAACTGTTATAAAACTGCTTGAAACTTCTCACTACTCTGCAAGCACCAAATAAATGCACAATTTCAACCAATGTGTCACAAATGTTTATTAAATTACTATAAACCATCTTTAAATTCATAATAACCTACTTATAAACCCCTTTATAAATAATGTACGTATATCTTGATATAAATTCGTTTATGGATTAATATGTAGATGAGGTGATAAACACAAATTAAACACATTGCATTTCTAGCCAGATATAGGCTTACTAATTTATTGCTTCCCTGGGTTTTGCTATTTTCCCAATATGTGAAATAGTATCAGCCCCGCCCTCATACATACCAGTCTTCCTTAATGTTCTTTCAAAAATTCGGATTTCCCACTGCATTTAACAACAGATGTATCTACACTTGACCACAGCACAAACTGTATGAGTAGGCCTATGTGGTGTAAAGACGGGGTCTGTTTCTGAATCACGATATAAAGTCTATGCAAGTCCTCTAACATGAAGGCCTAACCTAACAATTGGTCTATGGTGAATTGATAGTTGCCCAATTATCATTTGTGTAACCTATTGTCATGGGTGTTGTCAACAATGATGACAGACTAATATCAGAGCTCAAATTCTTCCGCTAGTGTTTTTGACATACTTATTTTTTTTAAACTGGGCAGTCCTTCTGCTAATATGGTCAGATGACTATCCCACTGTTTTGAGATTAAATATAAACATATAGGCTGATATATTTCCTTGAACTGTCCCATCATCATCACTATTTCACAGGAATGGCCCTAGCTTTTTAGGGGCCCTAAGCAAGACTTGGTTTGGGGGCCCCCCACCTCGCGAGTAAAACATTTTAGTGGTGAACTCTCTTGACGGCGCAAAGAAAATAAAATGCAGTTTCAAAGTTAATTTACTGGAATCCTACGCATTTTGCCAAGGGGCAAAGAGTAAATGTTGTGGTTTTAAAGCACATTTTCTACAATTGTACACATTTTGCGGCTGGCCCTAAGCGACCGCTTATGTTCCTTATGCCCTGCTATTTCACCAAGGTGACATTTGGGACATATTGTTACACAAGCTAGGTTTCCATCCAATTGGCAACAGATTTTCATGCTAATATTCTAAAATACGCATAAAGGAAATATGCAAATTGTTCCACCAGTGGTGTGTTTCCACCAAACGGACTTGTTGCGGATAAAAATCAGTCTGTGATGATGTAGTGCACCCAAAATGTAATTTTTTGCTAGTAGTTTCCATCTACTGAATCAAAAATCGAAAGTTCAATGTGTTTCCATCACATTTTCAACTCTACTGATAGATTTGTCACAAAAACTGTTGCGTTAAATAGCAAATGTGCCTACTCTGGTCATGGCACATGCACTCTAGCCAATAGCTCACACAGTGCAGGTAGGCTAGTCTACATGATTATTATGGATAAGAGCGAGAATATGTGTATTTGTGAAACGGCAGTCAAGCATCGATCATCATGTCACCAGAATAAGACCCTTGATATTTATTGGAAAGGAGCATCAAGCTCATCACTTTGCACTTTCACCACCCTGTGAAGTTCATCATAACTTATTTCATCTTTACACTAACAAATTGCTGTAAATTCACAGCAATACTTTTACAGTAAGCTACTGTAACTCTATATTGCAGTACAGTACTGTAAAGAGCAATGCATTATGGGGGCTCAATGGCAAATTACAGCAATTTTACAGTAAAGTACTTTTTGGCTGTATATTTACAGCAGCATACTGTGAATTATGGTGCATTGTGGGAAGATGTTGTGGGCGGAGAAATAATCTCTGTCTCATTAAACATATTTCAAGGCGTGCTTTGTAAGAGGTTATATTTGTTGCACCCATTAGTGAGAATTCCTGAGCTGTTTGGAATTTCTGTGTGCCTTCCTTGATCCCCCTGTTCCTTTAATGGAAGTTTCCCTCATAATAAGGAGCAACTTGTGTATTGTGTACAAATTATTTGTGTTCAGGGTGATAGTATGGAGCCAGATACCTGCCAAAAGGTTGAACGTACAGTACCATTCAAAGGTTTGGACACACCTACTCATTCAAGGGTTTTTCTTTATTTTTACTATTTTCTACATTCTAGAATATCAGTGAAGACATCAAAACTATGAAATAACACATATGGAATCATGTAGTAACCAAAAAAGTGTTAAACAAATCAAAATATACAGTTTACATACACTTAGGTTGGAGTCATTAAAACTCGTTTTTCAACCACTCCACACATTTCTTGTTAACAAACTATAGTTTTGGCTACTTTGGCTGCAAATTTTTCCAACAATTGTTTACAGATAGATTATTTCACTTATAATTCACTGTATCACAATTCCAGTGGGTCAGAAGTTTACATACACTAAATTGAAAGCGGCAGGTAGCTTAGTGGTTAAGAGCGTTGTGCCAGTAACCGAAAGGTTGCTGGTTCTAATCCCCAAGCTGACTAGGTGAAAAATCTGTCGATGTGCCCTTGAGCAAGGCACTTAACCCTAATTGCTCCTGTAAGTCGCTCTGGATAAGAGCGTCTGCTAAATGACTAAAAAAAAATTAAAAATAACAGCTTGGACAATTACAGAAAATTATGTCATGGCTTTAGAAGCTTCTGATAGGCTAATTGACATAATTGGAGGTGTACCTGTGGATGTGTTTCAAGGCCTACTTTAAAACTCAGGGCCTCTTTGCTTGACATCATGGGAAAATCAAAAGAAATCAGCCAAGACCTCAGAACAATAATTGTAGACCTCCACAAGTCTGGTTCATCCTTGGGAGCAATTTCCAAACGCCTGAAGGTACCAAGTTCATCTGTACAAACAATAGTACGCAAGTATAAACACCATGGGACCACGCAGCCGTCATACTGCTCAGGAAGGAGACATGTTCTGTCTCCTAGAGATGAATGTACTTTGGTGCGAAAAGTGCAAATCAATCCCAGAACAACAGCAAAGGACCTTGTGAAGATGCTGGAGGAAACAGGTACAAAAGTATCTATATCCACAGTAAAACGAGTCCTATATTAACATAACCTGAAAGGCCGCTCTGCAAGGAAGAAGCCACTGCTCCAAAACCGCCATAAAAAAGCCAGACTACGGTTTGCAACTGCACATGGGGACAACGATCATACTTTTTGGAGAAATGGTCTTCTGGTCTGATGAAACAAAAATAGAACTGTTTGGCCATAATGACCATTGTTATGGAGGAAAAAGGGGGCAGCTTGCAAGCCGAAGAACACCATCCCAACCGTGAAGCACGGGGGTGGCTTTGCTGTGGGGGTGCTTTGCTGCAGGAGGGACTGGTGCACTTCACAAAATAGATGGCATCATGAGGAAGGAAAGTTATGTGAATATATTGAAGCAACATCTCA